TGTATTTTCTATAAACTTTTCTTTTCTAAAGTTGCACATTTAACCTGATTAACTACAATTTTAATAAATTAAGCCTTTTTTTATATAATGTGTAATATTATTAAGTAATTTAAAAAATGAAATAATAAAAGCCTTTTGATGCCAAATGTATAGGAAAATTAAAATTAAGCACATAATTGATTGTTATTGTTTCAATATAGGTCCTAATTATTGTGTCTTATGTATTGGCTTTAAATTTAATTCATCATTCTTTACTCACAAATATATTATCAGAAGTGTCAGATCATATATTTGAAAAAGGTTCAGATCATATTTTATCAAATATGATGGAAGAATATCTACAGCATTTTAACCAAATATTTAATTTAAGTAATTATATTTTTATTACATTATCAGATGGCAATGCTTTGGTTTCATTCCATCGATTGTATCATACTTCTAAAAATTAAGTGCTTCTACATTCTCTCGAAATTGATCCACTCTATCAAATGCAATATGGAGGAACAACTAAAATTCCAGACCCTTTAAGAATTATAAAAGGATATGGCAATTATGATATTTCTTATTCGTTCATGTGTTATTCTAATCTATCATCATTTAATCAACCTAAAACTATTGAAGAAAAAGTAGGAATCAAATTATAAGAATAAATCTAAGCATTTGCATAAATTTTTTATTAGGGAAATTTAATAAATCAATCATTTTTGTACTCCTACATTATGAAAGAAAAAATTAATTCCATTTATCCTTGTCTTAATAGAGATAAAGCAATTTATTAATATGTAGCTGAAAAAAGAGACTGGTATATTGAATTGAAGCGTAATTATTAAAGTAAAACACCCTTTGATAAATATAATTATACATTTACTCAGCCATATTTATGTAACAATTTTAAATATTATTTTTAATAGTGTACACTGATAAAAAAATTGGACTTTCAATGACACTTCCTATAGTAGATAAAGATTTCAATTTAATAGGAGGAGTTGTTTCCAATTTCTTGGGTTCATAAATAATTGAAATGTTAAAATTTAACTCTTTTGGATTTCAAATAATTTATCTTGTATCAGAAAAAGGTGTAATGATTATGCATCCTTATATAGTAACAGTAGAATAATTACCTCTTTATATTTATAATGAAAGTATAACTGGATTTAATTTCACTGATTGGGAATATATATTAAATTTAAATTAAGATTCCTCTTGTCCTAAATTTGATTAATTATCATCAATTCGTAAATGTAGATATAATTCTTATTATAATTAAGAGATGATTATTGGCATACGTGAAATTCCAGAATTTAAGATGAAACTAATAATGTAATATATTTTATTTGATTAATTTTAGGTTGCTTAGTAGTTCAGAATATTTAAAATTTCATGATGATTTCTAAGAAACTTTAGAGAAAAGTTTATCTTAAACAACCAGTAACTATATAATTTGGTTATTTTCCTTATTTGTTGCTCTTTGCTTTATAATTGTTTTAGTTACATAAATATTATTTTATCCAATTGAAATGATAAAATAATAAGCTATCAATTTAATTATTGAATAAAGAAAAAACAAATAATAAGTATCTCAATTTACAGAAGTCTTGATGAGTGATTAGATATTGTCATTAGTTTAAGCTTATAAGATTGTAATAAATAAGTTAGAATCATTATCATTAACAAAAACTAGTGAGTGTAAATAGTTTGAGGATATTTAATATCCTACTAAATAACTATCTATAAGGCTGTCTGCTTTTAAACAAAATATTTAAGAAACTAAAAAATTTCAAGCTTTGAGATTTGAATAATTAAAAGATTTTAGTAGAAATTAACAATTTCAAAATGATGCAATTTCCATAATTAGAAGTGTTGTCAAATAACAAAATACTTAATTTCTTTTATATTGAATCTTAAAGTATTCATTATTTAATTAATCTAATCTTCCTTTTAAACTAAAATCTGTTAAATAATAATATTTAATTATATGCATTTATTAAAGTATTATCTTATATTCTTATAATAATCATTCTAATCATTTTAATACATGAATTGAATGGAAAGTAACCTATAATAATTTTATCAGTAAAAACATAAAGAATTAGTTTTTATTAATGAAATGTAAAATTACAGGGATTACTAATTTCATGTTTGCATGATTTGAAATTGAGAATATAATTTTTAATATTGGTTACATTAATTATTGCTGTGATAATCTCTTATGTTCTTTCAGTAAATTTGATTCATTATCTTCGTTGAAAACATATTTATCCTCTTTATCAAAATCAAATATTTTAAGGTTACTCATGTAAAATATAAGTAAAGATATTACAATCATATGAAAGATATTTTGATAGAATTTTTTATATAAGTAAATAAAATTTGATATTTTAGATGGAAATAATCTAGTTACCTTTTCGTAGATTTTTCATCCAATAATATCATCATTTCATAATTCTTTAATTTTTTAAATAGCTTTTAGACATGATAATATGAGAACAATTACGAGCATATGTAGCTTTCTTATATTCATACAAAATTAAAGATAAAACTAATGTTTTTTATTCATGTCTTAATAGAGGAAAAAGAATATATGCTTAGACATAACTCTTATTAAAAAAAATCTTTTAATGAATATTCTAAATCTTTCACTAAATCTTATCTATATAATATTTTTATGTTTTAAATTTATTTTTCATATTTCAATTTTAATAAATCTATCTCTTTTAATTGATTTGCATTATTCAAATTTACTTATATATTATTCAATATTATTTAATTGATACAAGTAATAATTATTAATAAGATTTTGTCTAAAAATAAAAAGATATCATCAATAACACTCTTTACAAATATTTTTAAGAGCTAATAAATCAAATTAATGTTAAATCATATCAATTTGTTTATGATTCATTAGAATAATTATCATTTAATAAAATAAAATTATGTAGAGATTTAGAAAATTATCAATATTCTAGAAGAATGTTTATCTTTGAAAATACTTATCTATAAAGAATAAATTCAAAAATTAAGAATTAGAAAATATTGTAATTTAAAAAATAACTCAAGAAGCAGTTATAGGAATGTTTCTTAAGCTCTATTTATAATTTTCAACATGATAATATTCAAAATTACTTAAGAATTATTATATTTAAGTTTTTTTATATTTAATCACTATATAAATTTAACTGATATGTCTAAAAAACAATTGACAGAAAAACTAAGAAGTTATAATGTAACACCTACAAATTATACAGAAACCAATTCTTACACAAAAAAATATAGTAAGAAGTTATTAAGTCGATAAAGCAATAATTAGTAATAAGAAAGTTGTTCAGAATATTTAACAATTACAAATAATTCATCACCTTAAATACAATATTCTTCTACAATTTTATCACCATAATAATAAACAGTTCTAAAATAAAAAAAAGAAATCTCTATTTTGAAATTAGGATGTTCTAAATGTCTATCAAAATAAAATAGAGATTTAGATTTAAGAAACAAAATAATTTTATAAAATAAACGAATCTTATAATTAATAACATAAGAAGAAATTCCATAATAAGAATATGCTGAATTATAAAGAATCAATAATAATCTTCAAAAATAAAATGAAGAATTAAAAAAAAGTCAAGAAATTTTGATTATGAATCAAATGTAAATATTGCAAGAGAATTAATTGCTTAAAAGTTTATTTTCTTAAAACAAAATTAGTTTATTCAATAAAGAAAATACAAGTGGTAATAATTTATAATAATTTTTAGAATTCTTTAGTTAATCTTAATCTTTAGGAAATTTTTCTTCCATTTTCTAATTCAATAATCAAATGCATTCTCCAATTTAGGCTTAATAATCTTTAATAGAAAGAGAAACTTATCGCACTCAATGAATTTATCTAATTATATAATTAATTTAAAATATATAAAAACTTTATATAAATTCCCTTCATTTCATAAAATTTGATTTTGGTTAAATTATTATTATTATTGAAATTCTTTTCTTATTAGATTAATGACGACCTTATTCTTTGGATTGGGCTATTAAGGTAATAATTTTATTTTACTTAAATAAACATACTTATTTATGTTTTTCTACTAAACCGACTAATTCATAATTAAAGATACAATTAAAAGAACTTGCCATGAATTTTCAAATATTAATTATTGATATATTTTTCTTCATTGTTGAAAAGAAGAGCTCTCATTTTGCATAATGTTTAAAATATCTTTGTTTATTTAATAAATTATTTCAATGGTTTATTAAAATAGCTAAAATGGATTTAAGATTTACAGTTTAAAATCAAATTAGAAAGTTCTAAAGATGTTAAAAAATCGAAATATCTATCTATCTAATTTCTAATATGTTCATTAAATGAATTAAATTTTCCTTTCTGAATTGACATCAATTTTCTTTAATTGATTATATTAATTATATACAAGTCACAATCTCTAAGAATGTTATAATCTATATTTTGAATTATTAAATTTTTGTATACTAACTTAATGGCCTTTTTCTTCTTTCTTATTTATCAATGGGAATTATTTGTTTTTTTCGAAGTTTTAGATGAGAATTACTCAAATTTAAACATCAAAGGTAAACTATATATAAGTATTCTAATTTTGCTATAATCTCCTTTCTATATTAAATTCTCTATACTTTAACCCGTTTAAAATTGATAATTAATTTATTTTTCATTTTAAACTGATTTAAATAATTATTTTTCTAAACTGCATCCTATTATATTTAACATCCATTCATAAATTAATAGGCAGTCTAGAATTTTATAAATCTAAAATTTTATTTTATCTTCAATGAAATATTTTAATTCTCAAAATTTGTATTTTTTTATTACTATTTTATCTGAATTAGTTATAATATAAACAACTTATTAACTTTCAAAAATAATACCATTTCTCTCTTTTTCAATTACTTTTTTTAAAATTAATTAAATAATTATAAAAACAAAATTTATTCATTTTTTAGTAAATAAATTTATGAATAAAAAATAATGTCATAAAAGTATATAAAGAACATTTATTAATAAAGTAAAATTTATATTTTAATTTTGAATATAAGAAATAAAAAATAATAATTGTAAGCTTTTAATTATATTTCATCTACAACATCCACAGATATAATCTTTTTAATCATAATCTGCTCTGGTTACTCCAACACAGTTCATATGGTACCATTTCTAACATTTATCACACTAAAGATTAGTGAATGCATACCTAAATAGAAGGTAAATCAGGATTTAGTGGTTATTTACAAGTACAATGATTTTATAATTTCATAAAACCTTCAAATCGATTCTTGCTTGGTATCCAACCTAATCTTGTAAAGAATGTGCATTTATCTATAGTCTATGCACTTTCATATTCTTCTAAAGAATAAATTATGCAAGGAGATATAATTGCTGAAGCCAAAATATAATCTGTACAAGTTGTATTAAACACTTCACTATTTGAGATCCAAGCTTTAGCCTAAGGTCTAAATTTAATCACTTCACTTTTACGATAAAACCTAATATAAACTATTGTTAATACCATCTAACTTCACAAAGACAAATTAGTTTTGATGATTTATTTTCATTTATTGTAATTATTCTCTATATTTTACCTACATAATCTTCAGATGGATTGTTTGCATTTTTTATTAATGCATTTTGTCCTAATTTCAAAGTTTGTGAATTCACCTTAATTTCATCATATTCATTTATAATTGTATTATTTGAATCTTTCTCAGCCCAATTTACAATCTCTTTGAATTATTATTTTTTAAACATTTCTCTAATTTTTGAAGTACTAGATATTCCACTTTAATTTTTAGACTTTTAGATTTTCTTTCTTAATTTATCTCCTGAATCTTCAGATTCTCCAGATTTATTAAAGAATTTATCCTAAATACTTAAAGAATATACTTCTTTAAACTCAGTCATTTTATAATAAAAATATTTATAATATTTCAATTTACTTTTGTAATAATTAAAAACTCTTTAATCTCTACAAAATAAATTTTATCTACCTGTTCTGCATATACAACATCTTCAACCAGTCATTCTTAAATTTTAACAATAATCTTAACAAAGAATAACATATTAACAAGGTTTAACCATTGTATCAATTATATTTGTTAAGCATATTCTACTAGGCTCTTTTTCACTAAAATTATTTAATCTTTTGTCTTACCTAGCATTTTTCTTTCCTAAAACACTATCATTCATTCCATATACATCCTTTCTTAAGAACTCTTACCCATTAATCTTGTAAAATATTTCATTATTCTTACTCTTAATAAGCTCAACCTTTTCTATTAAGCAATAATATGTAAATGAATGATCGATATTAACTTTTTACTTAAAATTGTAGAAAATATTACAATTTTCACTATCAATGGAAATAAGTATTATTCCTATGTTATTTAAGAATTTTTATAACTTTTCTTTTACCAAATTTAAATCTAAAATAACACTGCTTCATTTTTGATACATTTATTATGGAACATTCAATGCTTCTTATTAATTATTTTATCCAGAATAAACAGCATTTAATTTTTATTTATATTCAACACTTTATAAATACTAATCTAGATTAACTTGATTTTCATCTTCCTTACTAGAACTTCCTCCCATATAGAAATTATGTAAATTATATTAATAATAAATATTGAAGTTATTAAATTATCTTCAAAAAATATTTATAAGTATTCCAATAATTAAATTATTAATATTTATTAATTAATTTAATATATATATATATAAACATGAATGCAATAAAATTCTAGAATTTTAGATAATAATTGCCAATACTCATTTAAAAATGTGAAGAAATTAATGAAATATTTGGATTTTCATTAAGTGAAACACTTATACTATTGCATTATTTTAAATGGAATGATTATGCATTAAATGATGTCTTAGCAAGTTCAGAAGATTATGATGCTATATTAATAAAAAGTGGTGCTAAATCTGATAAACAATATAAAGCTGATAAAATTTGCCCTATTTGTATTAATGATCAACCCTAAATAACTTTAAGTTGTGGTCATTCAGCCTGTAAGCCTTGTTTTGAATTATACTTATAAGAAAAACTAAAAACAACATCTTTTGTTAATTGCTTTTATTTAGGTTGTGCTTTGAAAATTCCTTATTCTTTTTATTAAGATAATAAAGAATATAAATAACAATATTTATTAAGACTAGGTAAAGATTATAGAACTACTGTTAAATGCTGCAATAATGAAGAGTGTGAATATTATATTCAAGACTTCCCATTAGATGATATTGTACAATGTTTATGTGGTACTATATTTTGTTTGAAATGTGCTTAAGGAGATCATCGGCTTTTAAGTTGTCAATAATGTGTTGAATGGATTAAACTTTATGAAGGCTCAACAAATATTTTAGGTTTCTTAAATCAAGGTAAGTTTTGCCCAAAATGCAATTAGTTTATTGAAAAGAATTTTGGATGTAATCATATGACATGCAAAAAACCTTTAGGATGTGGATATGATTTCTGTTGGATATGTCTAGAGGCTTGGTCTACTCATTCTTTAAAAACTGGGGGCTATTATAATTGCAATAAATATAATGAATAATAAATTTCAGAAAAAAATACATTAAAACCTTATTAATCTAATAATAAAAAATTAATTTTCTATGCTGTCAGATATGTTGGGCATGAAAAAGGATAAATGGTAGCAATAAAAAAATAAAAAAAATTTTATTCCTATGTTTAAAAAAGTTAACTGGATGATTCTTATAAAAAATTACTAAAAGATTGCTATCAATATATTATTTAAGCCAGAATTTCATTAAAATGGACCTATGTATATGCATATTTCTAACAATAACCTAAGCCTTTGTTTGAATTTGGACAAGCTGATTTTGAGAGATACTGTGAAAAACTACATGAAATTTTGGAACTTACCATCTATCCTAATATAAAAATTAAAAAACCTATAAATGAATACTATCAAAAGTTAACAAATTATTTTAATTTAGCAAAGCAGGTAATTAAAAAATTATATTATTTAGTTTTAAAATAAATTTCTCTCAGAGATGGCTTCAAAAAAATGAAATTATATATTTTTTATCTAAAAAAAAATATTTAATTTTCTCAAATTATATTGATGATCTTTTAATTTTTCAAGTCTATTTTCATTATATATTATTCATTAATTCTTATTTTTTCATTACTAAAATCAATTGTTTAGTATTGTAACAAAATAGGTTTAATATTGATCAAAAATGGAAATTTTATAATATTGTAATTTTAAAATACTGAATATTTACAATTTTAAAAAGTTATATTCCATTGGAATAAAACTCACAACATTAATTTCTATAATTAATATAAAATGATTGTGATTTTTCAACTACATAAAAAACTATAAAAATATCCTATTAATTTTTTATAGTTATTACTAGGTTATTGAGGTATATATAAATAAAAAAAACTGCTGACATAATGATTTTTTTATTTATGAAAGATGGTATGGTTTTTTCAAATATCAAACAAACAAAGCACAAACTTAACAAATATAGTACTGAAACAATCAATAATAATTATTTTTCAATTCTAAATTTAGTAAAATTACTAATTTTCCATATAAAATCTCTCTTCAACTTTAAGATATTTTGTAAAATGAATATTCCCATTAATACCTAAACTTATGAAATGTTTAGAAGGTTGAATGAAATATAGAAGAGTTGAAGAAATTGTTTCTTAAATGAATAACTTTATTTATGGCTTTAAGTTTGTTATCAAATGAATTAGATTCTTAATGATGTAAAAAATTATAATAAATATAAAAGGTAGCTTAGAGAATAGAAATTAAACAGAATCCAAACATTATTAACTTCATCTCTATATAGAATAAAATATTTGTAATTAAATTTTGAGTTTTTTGTATAGAATAGAATATATAAATATACTTTAATTAAATAAATGTTCTTAGTTTGAAGTCAGAAATTCAAAGATAAATTAGTTATATATAGAAAATTAATTTATTTTTATAATGAGATTGCAGAGGAATCAATAAGGTGCCTTACAAATATTAAAAAACAAAATAGAATGTTATGAGCATCGTCAGAAATAACAAATTCTTTGTTAATTGTTTCCAGATACACCTATGTGATTAATATTTGACTAATTTAATAGAAAATGGATAAAATTCCACTTAGATAAAGTATTTTTCACATCTTATCATTTGAATTAAAAACTATTTAGTTAGAATCAAAAACCAACTCATGTTTATTATATCGTAGATGGAGAAGTAAGATTAGAAGAAACATAAATTGAAAGGAGGAAAACTGAGAATGTAATGTTTGCCTCTACATGCATGTAAAAAAGTAGAACCTTATTGATAATATCTACTGGATCTCTAGTTGGAGTATGTATATGATATAACAATAGGAGATTGAAGCATTGCTTGAAAAACCATATCAAACAACAGCGAAAAGTAATGTTCATTACAGTAAAATACTTTTGATTCCGGAGGAGATATATATAGATTTAAAAAAACAAGATTATTTGCATTAGAGCATTGAAACACAGCATTTAAAAGATTAATTAATATTGAGGAAGATTAATTAATTAAAGAGAAGAAGATTAGAATTATAGGAGGTTTCTCCAGATAGAAATTTATCTCCATAAACTAGAATAAGTCGAGAAGACTATATTGTTTAATAAAATAAGAGGATATAAAAGAAATAAAATTTTGAATTCATTAATTTGACACCAGAAGCTCCTTTATTTTCAGTAAAAAAAATAAAACGGATAGCTGCTCCAGAAGAGAAACAAGAAAACAGAACAAGATCTATATCAGCACCTACAAAGGCTAAAATGTTATCTACTATAAAAAGTATAAACAGTACTGAAAAAATATTGAAACCAGAAGAGATTAATAGATCTCGTGCTAATACTATAAATCTAGGAGAAAAGTGTAGACCTGTTTCTCGAGTCCTTTGGTAATAAATATTTCAGAAATTTTGATTTTTATTTATATATAATTTTTATGTTTAATTTAGAAGACTTATTGGCAGAGGATGAAAATGATATTAATGATGCATCAAATTTAGAGATTGATGATATTCTAAATGAAAGTGATAATTCCATAAAAGAATTGGATATAGAAAAAGTATTGAATATTTTCAAAATTATATAGGCACATTAAATTTTGAGTGAGAAAAAATAGAAATTCAAAGTGTCAATAAAATGTGGTTAGAAGGAATATGAAGATTTAATCAAAAAGTATATAGAACATGATTTTGAATAATAAACAGAAGAGTTTAAAATTGAAATATCTTCATCAAATGAGGAGGATATAAAACCAGAATCATTGATTGATAAAATTGATAAATAAGAAAGAATGATTAAAGAAACTTCATTACAAAATGTAGAATTAATTAACAATAATATTGAAATAGAAAATATAGAAATACACGATTTATAATAGATTTCTAATTAATTGAAGAAATTATCTGGTCAACCATGTTTAATTATTTTCTAATATAATATTCTATCAATAGGAACATCAGTTGGTGAAATTCTAGTATATTCAGCAGCTAATAATGACTTCATCGGTATTTATATAAACTAAGTGCAGTCTTGAAATATAATTCTAGAGTGAGTGCAATTGATAATACATAAGTATTTTTAGTAGCTAGTTACGAAGATTGTGCAATAATCTTATGGGATCCCAATACTAAGGCTTAATTAAAACATATTAAACATTAAGAACCACTATTATCATTAAAATTTTTTAATGAAAATTAATTTATTATTTCAGACTACTTAGGTTAGACATCCATGTGTAAAATAACAAAAATGTTATGGTCATATTAAATTGAGATTGAAAAACTATTACCTAGGTAAACATCTAGAATATTAATTTAGATAGATTCATCCATTCTATCAAATTTCTATATTTAAATAAGATTATATTGCCTTTTCTTGTTTAGAATAAGTAATTGTGATGAAGACTGATTAATAATCTCAAATTATAAAAAGAATAAAAAGACAAATTGATGGTTATACTTATCCATGCACTAGTTGGGGATAGTTTACTAACACTGAAGAGTATACAGAAATGATTGAAATTGCATTAGCAGTATCATGGGGAACACATTTAGAAATTTATATTGTTGAAAAATAACAATTAATTTAAAAATATTCTTTTATTTTAAGTACTATTATCTCTTGTAATTGGGTCTCTAGAGATATGCTATTGATTTTTACAAAGGAATATTAAATTATAACTATGAATGTTTAGTATTTTAATAAGGATATAATCACTGAAGAATCAAGAAACACTTTAAGAAAATAAAACAATTATTTATAAAATAAAACTGACAAAGCCATTCAATCAATCACTCCTTTAGGTGATGTAAATAATTTTCCATTATAAATAAATAATGGTTAATAAATGGTTTCAGTATATTTGAATTGCATTCATGCTAATGCTAGATTCATCTACCTTTTAAATCTTCCATTGATTAAAAGAGTTAAATTGCTCATTTGGTCAGATTATTTGAAGGTAATGATTGAAAAAGCAGAAACTAAGAAAAATTGGTATGATATTTTATCATTTGGAATTAAATTATATTGGAATTAAATACATTGTTTTGCTATCCCTTAAACTAGTTAGGATTAAAGAGTTGTATTTTCAGATATTTCTAAAGATATATGTAGCACATTCATTAATCTTGTTGGACAAAGTATCGAATCATAAAAAGTATCAGAGCAGATAAAATATGAATAATGGACATAAACAATATATTCAGCTATTTAATATTGTATACATTGTAATTAATAGTAATACCTCTTTACTGGAATGAAAACTTTGTTAATTAAATTTCATCGATATTCTTAATTGCTAGCTTCATTAGAACAATTTATTTTAAATAAGTAAATTAAATAAATTCCTATGGATTTACTTCTTTAAATATCTACACATTACAAAGTGTTAAATAAATCAGATATTGTTGAATAACTTATTTTGTCACTGGATCCTAAATTCTTAGATATGACTACGATATTTTAAATTTGTCAAGAAAATGATTTATATACTCCATTAATGGTTGTATGTCCTCGTATCGACCATGATTACATTACACCATTATAAAAGATGTACTCTAACTTTTTGAAAACCTCGGATTAAAATATGCTATTAAAATCTTTATGGTTTATTAAGTTGACTTTTTAATAGATTATATTTCCAAATGAAAGGATTCCTCAAGATAGATTTTAACATGCTTTTGGATAAGTGATTATGTGGTTGTTAATTGAAGATATCTTAAGGAATTTTGGAATTCATTTGCCAAACGAACTTTTTGAAATTCTAAAAATTGCAATGAACTATGCTTCCTTATTTAATTTAGATTAATTATAAAAATATTTCAATTATCAAAAACCTATTTTGGTAGCTTTTATACATAAAATTTATAAAAGTTTATCCTAATCAATAGTTACTCATGAGAGTTTAGGTATAGAATTTAGTAAATTCATTGGTTCAATAAAGGGTTTAGTTCTTGATGAAGAAATATATATAAAATCATTAAAACATTTAGTGTAAGATCGAAAGAACTTCTAATTGATATTAAACATATTAGAACAAATAGAATTGAAACCAATATTGAAAAATGAGCTATTTGAATAGGCAAATGATAATTATATTAAGTCTTTATTTGCCCCAGATATTTATAAGTAGATTGACCTATGTTTATTGAAAGTAAATAAAGGGTTTTTTTAACTTATGATTTAAAGACAACTTAATTAGAGAAGAGAATAAACCTTAAAGGTTTTAGAATTGTATTTTGATACACTTTTGGAAAATCATCAAACATTATAAATTTTAAAATAGATAGTACCTACTCTAACTTCTAATGAATAATATAAGTTAATGAAGAGAGAATAGATAACTAATGGATACATGGAATTATTTTAATCGTTGGGTTCATAGAATAAAGATTTAAGAGCTTTATTAATTAGAGCTAGTTGTATTCATACACCAAATCATGTTTTAGATAAAATTCATCATTTTGCTTTAGATGATTTGGAAACTATCTTTATAGAAACCAAACACAAAGAAGGTTTGGGATATATTTATGCAAGAGTTGGAAAATTTGAAATAGCTATGTAATTTTTTATTTAAAACTTACTTGAATATTTATAGGAATGTTTTACTTAATAATAATTTTCAAGTGAAATTTTGAACTTAAAATTTGATTTATTATTTTAGACATGTAAAGACAATTTATCTCATAATGATAAGAATTCATTCTTAGAATTGGGTCGTGGATTATTTAATTCAGAAACACATTCTCAGATTTGGATTTTATCAGAATAAATAAATAATAATAATTATTAACATATGATACCAATATTATAAGTAATAAATAGTAGATTATGTGAATATTATAATTATTTGAGTATTGATGAATTGATTACTTTGATGGAAGAATAGATAGAAATATTTAGAATGATATGGATAAAATGGAGTTTTAAGAATTTGATTAATGATTAGAGAATATAGTATAGGATATGGTATAAAAGTTATTATATTGAATTACAAACATATCTAGAATTAAAGTGGGGTATATGGCATTAAAATGTATAGAATATTAATTTTGTAGGGAAGTAGTCCTGAATATGAGAATGAATGTAGTAATTGTAATGAAATGATAACAACTGATGGGAAATAGCATATTTTAATTAGAAAGTGTTCACATTCAACTCATCAAAGTTGTTTATAATAACCATTTTGTCACATTTGCAATCCAAAAGTGAAAATGCAATTGGAAAGTGTATTAGCTAATAGAAATGTTAGTGATGGAATTGATATGAAGAGAAGATAAATATTAATAAAAGAGAATGAATTGATGAAGGTAGAGATAATAATATAATAATAATAGAATCATAGAAAATTAGAAGAACAAATGGAAGATTTGTAATTAACAGCAGAGGATATTCGCATTCATGAAGAGAATAGGATAATCCATGATTTAGAACTTTTTGATAAATTTTTTAATTTATGAGTTAGAATACACAATACTGATCATTTTGATACTTCCAAGAGTTTCTTCTACTCTTCTTAACTTAACATTCCAAATATAGCTTAAACATTTTATCCTTATGATTATTCAAATACTTTTAATGCACTTGCTATTTTTGTATCTATGGTTTCACTAGATCTCTTAGTCTTATAAGAATTAGCAAAAACTTTGAGAATCTAAAACTTTATTGAAATATAATACTTATAAAGCATTTTCTGGTTTTCCATTAATTAATCGATTGCAATCAGCAATGACAAAGTCTGCCAATTATTCATGTTGAATACGAGCTTCTGGTTTATCATATCTAAGAGGTAATAAATGTAACCAGGTTTAAATTCCTTAGATAAGATCACCTCCTAAAGAATTAGCTTAACATTTAATAATTTTTCCTAATGCTGCAATTGAATTGTCTCTAGCATGACCATGTTATTTTTCAGTATCATCTTGACTCTTCTCAACTTTCAAGGAATCTACAAGAGCTTTAGACAACATAGGAGCAACATTAATGTATAATTACTAAAAAAGTTAAAATGAATAAAATACCTCTGGTGTATTAAGAGCCATAATACCAATACCATAGACAGCAGCTTATCTTACGAAACAAACTCTATCAACAGCATAGATTGTCAAAGCTTAAGCAAAATCATTAAGTTTAGCTTAAACATATGGATATCCCAAATATTCAACCATATCATCTATAAGGAAGATACCAAATTAATGCATTTTTGGAGATTAAGCTGGATCCAATACTTTTGGTAAAATTTAATTGCAAATAACCTCATATAATGGTTAGACTTAATCTTTATGAGTTTTGAAGATTGATCCAATACATTCTGCAATTTTAACATGTAATTCTTCTTCAGTTTCTGTTTCTTCTTTGATAACTGTTTTTTCATCTTCATCAACATCTTCTTCTTTTGACATTTTCTCATTTTCAGCTTTTCTTTTATCTGATTCCAATAACAATTTAAATACTTTATCTGAGAGTTGAGTAACTTCTTCAGTTGTCATAAATGGTTATCCAACAATATCTATAATTTCTTTGATACAATCAACTTATTCAATAATAACCATTGGATCAAATTCTTTTTGAGCTGCTTCTAAAATAATTCCTAAGAAATATTTAGCACCTTAAACTAATTATTAAACATTATTAGTAGCTTTAACATTTTCGATTAAACTTACTAAACATTTGCATGCAGCACTTCTTATATTTTCATCTGTATTGAAATTACAAAGTGGGACAATCAATTAAGTACATGAATCAAAGTAAGGGAAGAAAGATTCTTTCAACTCTTCAATGAATACAGATAACATATGAATAGCAACTTCTGCTTCTTCATTATCATATGTATGGAATTCCTCATCTCCAGTTCCTGTATGTACTTTAAATACTTATTAAACTAATTAGAATAATGAAGGAATAATCTCTGGTAAATATACAGCTATTTGTTATGGACATACCAATGCTAATCTTTACCATCCAGAAAGAACATATGATTTTTAAGGATCAACTGCTTCTAATTAACTGGTTTAAACTTATATTAATATTCTAACTGTTTCTGCTAAAAATGGTTAGAATGCAGCCTAACCAACAGCAGAAGCTATTAATGTTATTGTTTCTATTGTTTATCCTTTTAATTATCTATATTCCTTATTTTAATGATTCTAGAACACTTAAAATAATAAGGGAACTATTTCATTAACATATGGAAGGAATAATTGTTTACTAGATTCAGCTGTTGCAGCTAAAGCACTCATTGCATTCTCTTTTACTATTGAAATACCATTATTCAAATATTAGATTGTCAATTAAATCAAGTTTTATAAATATGATTCTATTCCTTTCTCTGTTCCTTCTACAAAGTTAGTCAAAGCAGCTAAAATATGAGAGGAAACTCTTGGAACTTCTTCTACTTATAATCTCGTTAAAAATTATGGAACTATTAAATGTAAGTAACTATCTTAAAATTTAGGTTTCATATCATCTGCTATTTAACCGATTGCATGGCAAACGGCATATCTAATCATTGGATTTTAGTCACTCAACATTGGTGAGACCAATTCAATTATTGGTTTTACTTCTTAAACTTCATCAATGTATTCACCTACTTATGATAAAGCCAAAATGGCAGCATATTTATATCTCCAATCTTGATGTTATAATAATTAGTTAACAATTGGACTCAATACTGGTAACATTTCTTTATCACCAATAGATTCGATTAGTCTATCAATTGAAGACATACCAAATCTTGTAGTTTCACAATCTTCATCTTGTTAAATATCATCATTGAATCCTTCAGCAGGTTTCTTCCATTCTTCAGTTACTGTTTCACTAATTTAGATCATGTGGAAGAAGATCATTTCTACTAATTGACTCAAATATTATTTATCTTATTTGAATACTCTTGGGAATTTTTCAGCCAAACTTATTAATGTTTCTGTTCCAATTCTCTTTAATCCTTATTCAATTTAAGATTCTCTAAAAATAGCAGCAATTCCATTGAAAAATACATTGATTTATTTTCTAAAGAACTTTGGTTCAGCATCTACAATATCAGAGAATGTTTCCATAATATCTTCACCTAAAGTTTGATCTTAGATAGTGACAGCCAAAGCAGATTACATAAGATTAGGAATAAGATCTTAGAATACTCTATATTGCTTAGGTTCAGATGTTGTTACATAATTACCAATAGCTTAGATAGTAGCTGTTTTAATCTTTTGATCTGGACTAGCAAGTCCTTATATGAATAATGTGTGAAGATCAGCTTAATGTTTATTAAAGAGATCTATAGCATATGTAAAAAGATTGGACAAGATCTTGAATCCACATTCAATTAAATCATTTTTTGGAGACAAGAACAATTACCATAATGTTTATAAGAGATTAGGCCATGAGTTTTTTGTTTCATCTTCAAAGAGTGATCCTCCAAGTTCACCTATGGTATCGCATAATTGACTTCTGACATTTGAACTAGTCTCAAGTTCCAACAATTAGAACAATGACACTTTTACAATTTCTTAAGTTTCTGGAGTAAGAAGACTCCATACATTTTTATGACTCTTGGGAGAATAATTACTCAGTGAGTTTCTTAAATACACTGGAGCAAACTATCTGATTTTTAATTCTTCATGTCTGCATAGATGGAGCATAGCTGTGACGAATTCACTTGGCTAAGAATCTCTATATTGGGCTAGCATTTCCTCTGCCTTCTATCTGGTTACATTATCTGGTGAAAACACACCATGGATCACATTAAGAAGCTATTCTTATAAACTCATTGTTTTTTTATCACAAATTTTGTATTTTTAAATATTTAAATCATCAAATTTATTTAAACATATAAATCTCGATTATTCGAATTTTCAAATATTCTTTAAATTCCCTCTCATTTCTAATCCACTATTCTTATCAATTATTATTAATCTACTAAATCAATCATTATTTATTTTCTATATATTCTACATTTATTTAATCATTTACTATCATAAACTTTTATGTTTCTTTTAATAAATATACACAAAGAATCTAAAAAGAATTTTATACATAATTATTCTAGTTTATACAAATTATACTAAAACTGCTTTATTAATCATTTTTATCGATTTTATAAATATACATAACTTTTAGGCTCAATCTTTATGTTTATTGTTTAAGTCTTTAAATTTCTTTTATTTATCCAAATTATCTTTTATATATTACACTATTTGAATTCAAAAATTAACTTTGAATTATTCTTTTATAAAGTAGCTTCTATTAGCTGAAGATTTTTCTTTGAATCTAAATAATTTAGAATACTTTCACTTTTTCACATAAACAAATCTTCTTTTTTTGACAAATTTAAATGAATTATTTAGAGATTTTTATTTTCATTTTACTTAAATAAAGAATTAGATTATAGTTTGTTTATTCTTAAAAAAATAAGAATAAAAATTTTGGAAAAAATTTAGAATTTTTAGAAAAACTATCTAGATTTGAGATCGAAAAAACAAGTTTCAGAATGATCATACTATTTTTTCTCAACTCTTAGGAAGCAATAGACACAAATAATTATTTATAGTTAGATTAAATTTTTTAATTGCAATTTTTCAAAAAAACAACAGATTATTTCAATTTATAATATAGAATTTGATATTAATTATAATTTCTATTCTAATTTATGAGATTATATAGTTATAAATTAATAAATACAATATAACATTGATCGTAATTATTAATATATCAATTATTATAATATTTAAGAATGATACTCTGAAAGTAAAATTTAAATTCAATTTTATCATTATATAGTTTTTACTAATTTTATTTTTTTTATTTTAAACTTCAAATCTTAATCCTATGATTTAGAGTCTTTTACTATTTATTCTATCCCCTACTTTAACTATTGTTTATTTGTATTTTTTCTTTATGTAAAATCATATATTTAACTAAAACAAACTAGAAAATTTGTATGATTTTTACACATAAATCTATCAACTAAATGAACTTGTAAAGCTAAGCTTAAATTATTTATTTTTATAAATATCAAAAAAAGAATTCTATTAATTTTCTGAAATAATTTGAATTGATTTTTTAAAATTATGAATTTTATGAACATTATTATTTAAAACAAAGAATTCAATTAATTTTAGAATAAGTTTTTGCGTCTTTATTTTTCAAAATTTAATGAATAGTTTTTTTAAAAAGTTCTTCATTTATGATTCTAAAAATTCTTTTTGAATAAATATTTATTTTTCAAAGAATCTTAGAGTCATGAGATAATAAAATAATGAAAAGTTGAGATTTTAATAGATTTTGGATCTTATTACCAAGAATAAAGAAAAGTTTAAGAAATTTTATTAACTTATAGACGATTATTGACCGGTCTTAAATAAAATATATAAATTTAAATTAAAATGTCTGCAGCAGAAATACTAGTCCCTACAAAATTTATAAGTCAGATGATCTAATTAATCATAACATGTGTTATATATCAATCCTAAGTATCAAAATTCAAATAAAACATAGTATGAAAATCTGCTCAATTTTCCGAATGATCAACTAGCAGCATCTTCGTAAGTTCATTTGTTATTAAATCAAGTTTATAAGCTGGTGTCACACTCTCAGTAATATTTTTAGTTGTTGAAATGATAATACTTACTACTGGATGGACAATGAATTTTGAGAAAACAATGTTAACATGTAATTCAAAATTAATTTTATTTAGAAATAATATTACATTCACTTGGGTCTGTTATTTTAACATGGTTTATTTTGGATTCTTGGGATTACAGTTTTATTTGGGCTGTTTTTAGTTTATTTTGTCTTCTTCCTTTACTATTAGAATGTATTACCATAGCGAATGCAATTTTATTTCGTAGGTCTATAATTCGTTCAAAAAGTTGATGATTATATTAAACAATTTATAATAATAATTTTAAGATTATCCACAATGATGGAAGAGATGGAATATCTAAGATTGCCTCCAATATTGGCAAAATAAGTTTAACATCCTGGTAATTAAATATTCAATTGTAGAGGAATATATAAGAAAAAATGATCCTAAAGAACCTACGAGAAGGATTTTTAAAAATGTTCCAATAACATAAGATGAACGTAAACAATTGCAATAGCTTAAAGATAATCTTTCAGCAAACAGAATAGAAATTAATCCTGAGTATTACATTATTATAAAGTAGTTCATAAACAGATGAAGTACTTTTACGTTATCTATATGCTAATTATTTCAATATTGAAAATACTAAAGAAATGATTAAAAGTCATTTAAATTGGTTACGTGAATCTAAAAATTATGAATTTGATTAAGATGTTCTAGATGTTTATGTAATTTCAATTATATTATAGAATAAAGGTGTTGTCTATATACTTGGAAGAGATAAACAATACAGACCTACATTGATAATAAATTGTGAATTAATCACAACTATTAATGTAGAACTTTTAAAAAGGGCAATTAGCATTTTATGTATAATTATGGAAGATTATTGTTTTTTTGATGGCAAGATAGAAAATTGGAATATTATTATTGATCTTAAAGAGAAATGCATTTTAAATGTTAAATTATAAGACTATTATTCGTTATTTTAATTAATGTATTAAAATTTTCCTTGCACAGTAGATAAAATATTTATATTACATCCTTCATTAAGCATTTAATTAGGATGGGCTGAATTTATGGAACGTGTTAATAACAAAAAGAAATTAATTATTGTATCAGATATTAATTAATTTAAAAAATATTATGAGCCTACATAATTAGAAAGAAAATATGGAGGAAGATTAGAAACTAAAAAATATTTTCCTCCATTAAATACTTTACCAGAAGGAAAATAATTAACGGAACCTTTAAAAATGATAGAGACTATGAATTAATAATAGCAACAATAAATTTTAATATAAACAAAACAAAGTGTTTAAGCTCAAAATACTTTTTAAGAAACAGTCACTAAATAAATTCAGCCTGCTGAAACAATGAAAATGACTAAAACTAAAATTGATAGAGACTTTTCTGTTTATCCTTAATAAGAAATCAACGATTTTAAAGTTTATAGACCTACAGAATTAACTAAAGAACCAATCAAAAATATCTCTAAATATAATAGGCTAACTCAAGCAGAAATTTTAAAAAAAGAATATGACTATCAAGTTTAACAAACCATATTGCAATAGAAATAGGCAGAGGTTATGAAAAGTTATAAATACAAATAAAGTTAAATTTTTTTTGAGGAAAATGATTAAGAAGAAATCTTAAGTGAGTAAATAAGAACTTAAACAGTGAAACCTTAATCAGTTTAAAATTAACCATCAAATATAAAAGGGAGATTAACAGCTGAATAAGTGGAAGAAGATAATGCTGCTTGCTTAATTTTTTGATATTAGAATAATTTTTATCAACAGATATATGATATATCAAAATTTATGGATTTTAATTTTATCTTCCAAATTTGTTGATTTATAATCAAACTCAATTTCATTTTAAGGTCCATTGCTAATAGTAATAGCTCTTTTTCTATTAATACTTCCAAAAAACTATGAATATAAGGTTTCTACTTAATCTTTAACTTTTGATTAAGGATAATTTATATGTATATCTTTTGGTTATTCTGAAATCATATAATATTTATTATCTTGTAGAATTTTAATCTCAATCACTGATTTAAGTTTATTTGAATGTAATCGAGAAGTAGTAGCTTTATTATTATGTGGCTTTTTAAATTCTACAGTATTAATTGGACATTATACAGCAGACATTTGTAGAGGCGTTTTTTTTCGTACAGTAGCTTTAATTTGTTTGTACTTTTTTTATATTTGTGTATATGCATATGATTAAGGTTTGAGTAAAGGTAATACAACTGATTTTTATTCTTAGAATCCTTAATTTAATTAATACTATTATGTATGTTAAGATGGTAATTTGGTAATAGGCACTTTGATGTCTTCAATATTATTTTACTTTTTACACCAATTCTGGATGGAATGTTTAATAGTAAGATTTCTAATAATTAAATCAGTATATAGTTTATCCTGAAACTGTCTTCTAGTTTTACAAGAAAATGCTTAAAATTTTAGCCAGTTTATGTCAATATTCAACAATAAAAGTATTTGGTTTTATTCATTAAATTAAAGTATGGAATTTGTACTTCTTAATTTATTGGTCTGTAAAATTTAATCGGAATTCAGCTTCTAAGTCATGGTTTAATTTAACATATTATCATTATATAAATAAAAATACTTTTATAACCAACATTCATGTATTAATAATATTTCAAAAACTTCTCATCCAATTTGATAGGTTACTTCATGATTTTAAACAACTATCCCTTATAATTGATTTTGTGAATCCAATTAATGTTATTTGTATATAACATGAGAGACCTCTTAACTCACTAAAATTGCGATAATATTCAATGTATTTTATTGAATTTCCTATTTTATCTATTAAATATTAAAGTGTGCATCTAATATAACCTTTATCGATTAAATACCATCAATAGGTTTTGAAATCTTTAATATATATGAAATTTACATCACTAAAAAAACGATTTGGTTCTCTAATTTAATGTTAAGATTGTTAAAATTCATTTTTTTTTTCTTGCTAACTATATCTTTATTCAAATTAACTAAGCTAATCTCTTAATTAAAAAATTTAGGCATCATCTCTAATTCTAATTTATCTTATTTCCTCTTCTATTCTTATCATTTCCTATTTTTTTTATATTTAAAGTACTTGATCTTGATTTGATAAAATCCCTGGAAATTGAATATTTGATTACTAAAGTTACTCTAATTCTTTGTTTAAATTAGCAATTTAAAGAGAATTATTTGCAATATCATTTTTAAATTAGTCATTTTATTCTTTAAGAATTTTATAAGTGTGATATTCCATTCTATTTAAGATTTATTCTTCCTCTGCCATTTTTCTATAATTATAATATATATAAAAAAGTTAAAAAAAAAAAATGAATTTAGAAAATGGGAATAATAGAATTACAATATAAAGCTATTAGAATAATATTTTTGGATATTATTTTTTCAACTCATTCAGATAATTTTTGATTGATATATTCAATCAATCTATCTACTATGTCAATTTCAGTTTATCTTAAATATAAATCAATATAAAAACCTGCTAACTTTTTGATTACTATATTCTGAATCTTCCAATTCATTAATTCTGTTAGCATCTTAAATGTTTAATTAAGTAACTTCCACTAAAGCATTAGAAATATTAATTAATCCATCTAATTCATTAAGTCTAGATTAAATTTCTTTAAGTCTATTATTAGCAGTGGCTAATGAAACTTATAAAGTTTGTTTTTCATTTCTTAAATCATCACCTAATCTAGTAAGATTTTCAACCTAAAAATGAATATAATATTATACTTAAGTCTTATGATTAGTTTCTAATTGATCTTAACCTTCTTATAAGGCAGTAATTAAACGGGCAACTAAACTTAATACATTATTAAGAGTTTCTGGGTTAACTTTAGTTGTCATTTCAGCTAATCCTTCAATGATAGGTTAAAACAAAGTTAATGAACTCTTTTTAGTATGAGCTTCTAAAATTTCTTTGATTTTTTAGAAATTTTCTTTAGTTTAAAGAAGATTACTCTTAGTGTCTTATCTAAATAAAAGAAATTAAAAATTATATACGTAAGTTATATTAATGATGCTCCTTCACCTCTTAAATTCATAAGTAATCTTTAAGCTTCTTTACAAGCTAGAATAGCATCACTATAATCTTAAAATTTGGCAGAAAAATCAGTATTTTCAGCATCTAATCTAGATTAAGCATCTCCACTTCCTCTACTATTTCTATCTAAAGCTGCTTAATCTGCAAAAATATAATAAATAATTACCTTCTTTAACTCTAGTTTAAAGTGTAGTTAATTCATTATTTAAACTTGATTATTCTTGTCTTTAATTGTCCAAATCTGCTTATGCTTATTCTAAAGTAGCTTATAATTTAGCCAAATCAACTTGACTTCTACGAGTGAATGTAGCATTTTCTTAATCTTATAATTATGTTAGAGCTATTAGTTCATCTTTAATTTATTGTAAGAGTTATTTTAATTCATTTAGAGAACCACCTGTTTTCATATTAACAGAAACTAAATTGACTATTGACTTTCCAAATGGATGATCTCCATATTAGGCAAGTTTATCTGTCATTTCAGTTATTGATGTTGCATAGATGCATACAATCAAGGCTAACACAATTATATGTTTCATTGTTTTATATTTTATATATTATGAGTACTCCAAAAACGAATTATAATATTATGTTAAAATATAAACAGTAACGACTATTAGATGATGATTCTTAACCATATAAATTAATGGTAATATTCAAAATATAAATTTGATTAGATTTAACAACATAAATTACGTTCCTCTGAAAAAAAGAGACCTCTCAATCGTCCAAGAACATCATCTTTCAATAAACCTTAAGTAGATATTTTAATTGAAATCTAAAATTAAAATGCTATACTCACATAAGCAATTAATTCACTAAGAAATACTATTGAATAGTATAAGGAATGAATATGTTTATATTTCGATATTTAAAACATTTCATCTCTATTAAATTTTAGAATATTCTAAAGTAATATTAATTATCTATCTTTTATGATATTAACAAATATTCACAATTATTTGGTTCATCATTTTATTTATGCTAAGAAAATTACAATTATTTTTTATATTAATGGAATATCCATAAAACTTATTTGGATAAGGAATTAAATTCTCAATTATTGGAGACAATGTAGCTCAAATAGTTTTACTTCCTGGTGAATAAATTAGTACTCAAAATAATTATGTATAATATTATTCTGATAACATTGAAATTAAAACTAAAAGATCATATTTCATTTTTGACAATCAAGTGACTGTTGTGAATAATAGCAAAGATAATATTGCATATGTAGGAATTAGTGCTCAAACTGGAAAAGTGATGGTTTTAGATGCAGCTATTTTTAATAATTATTTAATCAAAGAATCCTCTATTATAGCAGCTAATGATCTTATTGAAGTTGCACCATTTACTTAATTTTAAACAAACTATTAAAAATTAACTTTCTCAAGAGATTTGATGAAGCAATAACTAGTTTTTTTAAAAACTAATGGAACAATAATTGATAAAGATCTTGGAGATGGAGAATCTATTACTGTTTAAAAACATTCACTTTTAGCTCTTTAAGATTTTGTTCGATATGAATTGAATTAAAAAGATAATGCTAAAGTTAAATTGATAGGACCAGGTAATTTTATCAAATATTGATATTAGGTAGAATTCTTTTCGAAATTAATAACTAAGTTATGCAAAATAATTTAACGATATTTCGAAGGAGATAATTAGTACATTTTTTATTATTAATGTCCTTCCTTTTTTTTTTAACTTTTGTTGATATTGTGCTTGATATTGGAGGTGGAATTTGAATTGTTTTATAAATTATTTAGAAATATATAGATATTTTATAATATAAGAGATAATTTAAATTCTAATTTAGGAATAAATTACTGTAAACTCATTTTTTTAATAATGTTATTGCTCCACTTACTTGATAATCCCATATTAAATAAGCAACTAAAGCTCCATATAATGCATAATTAATAATGTCATTAGAATGAACTTTCCACAAAAATAAATATGATTATTTTTTATATTCATTCCAACCTTACTTCTTAGAGAATGAAATGTCTTTATTGATCATGAATCCATAGAATCCAACTATCCATACAGTAAATAATATGGCATAAGCTAACCAATTTCCACTTAAAATTGCAAAAGAAGAATATAATAACATTTCTCCTGTATAATTTGGATTTCTATTATATTTAAACATTCCTTCTGTAATTAATCCTTATTTATATTTTAATGTATAGTATTTTTAACAATCACTTACAATCATTAAAACAACTCCAAAAACATATGCAAAAATAGCAGTCACTACTCTACCATTACTTGGATTTTAAATTCCTTCTGATATTTATAACCAGGCAATTACCCAATACAACCCTAATAATGATACTGTAAATATCAATGATCCAATTGTTATTTTATTCTAAAATGTTCTATCTGGAAATGTAAAATCTTTAACAACCCAAATTACTCCATAACTACCATGTAATCCTAACTATCATATTAATTTCTATTCTTACATATAAATAAGCACCTAAAGAAAAGTTTTAATACCACCAAATAAGAAAAACAACAAATACAGCTGTTAATCCTTTTTAGGCATTAATTATGTGACATTATTTAATTATTTTAGGACCTCCTAAAAAATCATTCACAACAACTTTTGCAAAGTCTTAATGTTATTTAAACATAAATAAATTAATATATTCAATTATTAATTATTAATATAATATTATTAATTATACCAAATCAAATAAAAAGTGAACTATTTTAGTATATTGACTGCTCTTCCTCAGAAATACATTCATCAAACTCTTCTTAGAGTGTTCGTTATATAACTTTCTCAGATAAATCAAAATTTATTTCAACATTAATAGTTTCATCTTCAGCATTTTATATTACTGGTACATGTAAACTCAAATCATCATCATAGTCTTTTTATCTTATTACATCCTCAATTTATTCATTATTTTAAATTTAAAATTAGATATTATTATCTTAATAATGTATTTCAAGGCCTTTAATTTGATTACTAACAAATTAATCCTCATAACATGAAGAATTGTAATTTTTCATTGATTGAGTGGATGTAACATTCTTAATTTTCTTATTATTATGAGCTAATTATCCAAATTTGTTAAGAAAGTCAACTTTTTATTTTAATTCTTTTTATAGAGTGATATTTTAATTAGCTAATTCTTCACAAATTATATGGTGTAATTCTAACTTTTTTAGTAAATGCTTTTTATGTAGTTGTAATTCTTTTGATTTGAGCCTACCTTCAGTGAGTTGATGCTAAAATTAAGTATTTTTAATTTTGGTAAGCATATATTCTTCATACAATTACTAAAACTCAAAATTATTAAAAGACATATGTTTTTAATTTTGTTGATTTTGTTTTCTTTCTGTCTTACTTAATCTAGTTTCAATTTCGTGCAATTCCAATAATTTTTAAGAAATGGCTTTTTTTAGATCATACAACTACTCCTACTAATTACCTATTTAATCACATTAATTTTCAATTCGTTAAGTAATGTATCTAATTTTAACATCTAACAAACATATATTCTAATCAAAATGCAAATTTTACATAATATAGAGTTTAATATAAATAATTATTACATGAGTAGTAGAATAATTACGATAATTAAACATATTATTACATATATATTTAAATATAATCAGTTTACAAATGAAGGATTAGAATAATATTAAAACAGCTATTGGAGACTTGATATGTATTGGCTTAAAAAAATGAATAATTGATTTAACAAAAGGAGTATTCGTATTATTTCTATGATATACAGCATTTTCAACATCTGACCCAGAATATATTTGATAGATTCACAGATTAAATGCAACTCAAGGACATTATTTGATAAAATATGGTTATAATTAGAGATAGGAGATCCATATGTCAGATTATAAAATACATTTTCAGTTTTAGAAGACAGATATTAATAAGAATAGAGAGAAAATGGTGCTAAAAACAGTTATATAGCTGCATCTGATAAACACATAGCTAATACAATATCTTAGAGAATATATAGATAAGAGAGTTAAAAACTCTTATTTATTTCTTTAACTGTTGAAAGAACTGAAACTGTGAGAATCTGATATTTTCGATATTATTAGTGAAGTTTCATTAGCAAAAAAATAAATAATAATTAAAGATTAGAATTACTTAATGAATAGAGAACCAATAGATTCTAAAGATTATTCTGATACTAGATCAATCAGTAACTTAATTTATTTTCTTTCTAGAAATGATGATACATAAGGATACTTTCAGTTTAATTAATTTAGAAATCTTTAACAAGTAGTTATGATATTTGAATATGAGTTAAGAAATTAAGATTGGTTAAATGAATTTGAGTATATTTTAATGTTTTATATAAATTTATATTTATATAATAATAATTTATTATTTAACTGAATCTAAAAGTTTATAAATCATATTTGATTTTAAATCATTAATAGGAACGGACTTTATAAAGGACATAAATTTTTGCAAGAAATGTAATTAGACAAAAAAAGTAGATGGATAATGCAAAGCCATATTGATTATTGCATTAATAAAGATTAGAAAAACAATTAGAGAACTTTAAGATCCTTTTAATATAATAGTATAATACCAGTAAAAATCTAAGATTAAAGAGAAAATCATCCCATAAGTAAAGACTTAATATTATTAATGATTCCATTTCTTATTTTAATAAGGGATACTTAATAGTACTAACATCAATCCTAAATAATCACATCTTGAATAAGTAATATTGATGGTTATTAATACCACTAAAATACTCATGAGTTTAAATTTCATTTAATTATTTAGATGATCTAAATTAACAATAATATCTTCAGGTTCACTTATAGTGTGTTTAAATATATTGAATGCATCAGGTAAATCATCTTATTTTGAATAATCTTAGTGAGATTCTGGAATAATAATTTATTAAACTGGTAATTATTGTGATTATGTTTATTATTATTAAACAAAAACAGGTTGTGTATCATACTATGCTTTATTTTCTTATTATTAAAAGGATTTATTTATTTAATTATCTAACTTAAGAGGTGGTTAAATGGAGAGTGATAATGTTTCTTTTTATTTAAAATTGTTATTGTTATCAAGATTGTATAATTATTTCATAAAATATAGTTTTCGCTTTATTTATTTAATTTAATCAAGGAGAGTATTGATATTCTATTCACAATATTGTATTTACATTTGAACATATTCATTCTAGATAGAGATTACATAATTAATACCCAATTATTAATGTATTCAAAGACAACTAAAATTTCACCAATTCCTTAAAAAATTAATTGTTCTTGAATTTGAAAATCTGATTATAGGTTTTTTTGGACTGTAATTTTGCCTAATGTGTTTTTTTGAAGTTAATGTATTTCAATTAATTCAATTGTAATTTCAATTTAATATACTTCATGAAGTATATAATTAAATTTATGACCCCAAACTGGATATTCACAATTCAAACTTGGTTTACTAAATCTATCATGACCATCAGATGCTTGATTGCATTAAAATAGAACTTCAATTTATTTTGATGCTTTAACAAAATCATCTTACTATCTATACAATTAATTTAGACAACCTGATTATAGAGTTATTATGAATTATTAATGATTAGTTTGAGTTATTTATTGCTTAGATTCTTCTTCACTCGTTCTAAATTGTTTAATTTTAATTTCTAATTATTTAACTTAATCTTTAAGATTTTACTCTTTATTCAGGTAACCGTGAGCGAACTCATCTTTTGATATTTTTTAATCTTAATTAGTATTTAAATCATTAAAGATTTCCTATACTAATTCTGAATCACAACCTTTCCTTTTTAAATGTTATTCTAATTCTGCTAATGATAACCATCCACTTTAATCGACATCTAAAGCTTTAAATTCTGCCTCTATTTCTTAAAACCTTGCTAATAATATTCAAACTACTCTTTTACAATGATTAAAATTCATATCTTATAAAGCTGAAGGATATTCTTCTAATTTTTATATGGTCATTCTTTCTGGACTTACATAAACTTACCTTGACATTTTAATATTAATAATTAAATGGATCGTTCAAATTCAATACCTCATTCAAATTCATAAAGGTATATACCTTAATCTTAACCATCATTGTACAGATAAACAGTTGCTCCACCAGAGTTCTCAAACTCTTAAGTTAAATTTATGAATGATTTAATTCTTTAATAACCTCCTAGTTAACGATAAGCTTTAAATAAACAATTAGAATAACTTAAACCTGAAGAAATTAGAGAAATTTAATCAAAATTAGAAAATGGAGAAGTATTACATGGATTACCATAATTACCTGAAGGAGCTAATATGACTCATAAATTTATAGTTAAAGTTAGAAAACATAATCAACCAAATTAATATCAATAACCTCCTATTTTATAACCATCTTAATCTCCATAACCTAAAAACATCATATCATCATGTCCAGATTGTATTAACCATCTTAAAAAAGTATACTGTTAAATATTTTTAAATAGTTAAAAGAATAAGATTAAAGAATAGAATCACTATTAATTGAAATGAATAGAATGAGTTAATTCTTAATTGATAAAGGTAAAGAAATCGATCTATGGAAACTATAATATCGATAAATACAAAATGTAAACTAAAATTATTACTTATCTATAGGAACTATCAAAACCTAAACCTTTTAATAATCAAGATTAAATTGAAATTGAAGATCTTAAAAGAAAACTTCATTAAAAAGAATATGAAAATCAATTACAAGAAACTACAATTAAATAATTAAAAGAAAACTAAAATTAAAATTAAAATTAAAACTAAAATGATGAAGATTTTGAATTGAGAGCTCCAAATAATGATTAAGATATTGATTAATTATAAAAATAACTATTTGATGCTTTATAGGATAATGAAATACTTAAATAAGATAATGATAGACTTACTTCTAAACTTGAAAAATTACAAAATGAATTTAACAATAAGAAAAGTGAAATTAAAACCATCTATAAACCAGATCTTGATACTGATAAATAACTAAAAGAATTATAATAGAAATATTCCATGTTATAATCTTAATTTTATATTTTATAAGAAAAGTCTTAAAATTCTCAAAAAGAAATTCAATATGAAACCAAAGTTATCTATCAATCAGATCCTGATATTGAAAAAAAACTCTAAGAATTATAATCCAGATATACCCTCCTATAATCATAGTTTTATTCATTATAAGAAACTAGTAAGATTATGCAAAAAGAAATATCATATGAAAACAAAATCATCTATTAAAATGATCCAGAAACAGAATTATTACTTTAAAAGAAGAACAAATAATATGATGAATTAAATACTAGATATTAATTAATTTAAGATTAGTTATAAATTTATTAAGAAAAGCTTAAACAATAGACTATGTTTGAAACTAAAACTATTTATAAAACAGATCCAGAAATTGAAAGACAATTATAATTCAAAATAGATTAATATAATTAATTACAATCTAGATTTAATCAATTATAATCTCAATATTTCCATCTTGAACAAAAATCTCAAGTTGTTTAAAAGGAATTTATAATTGATCCTGAACTTGAAAGACTCTTAAAAGTTAAATCATAATAATTGGAAACTATGACAACTAAATGCACTTTTTTATAAGAATAAATAGAAAAACTATAAATTTAAATTGAAACTTATCAAACTAAAATTTATCAATCTGAAATTAGAAAATCAGATACTGAGAATTATTTATTATAAATTGAATCATTAGAGGAATAATTAAGAAGATAAAATGCAGAAATAGAATTGTAGAATAGAAAAATTTATTAATTTGAATTAAATAATGAATAAGAATAAATTATTAAAAAATAATTTAATGATGTTAAGGCATTATATGAATAAGAACTATCATTAAATGAATAATTAAAAAGAAAAATAGAAGAATTGAAAATCTTTAAGTAATAAGTTGATACATTATAATTGAGAATCTAAGAACTTGAATAAATTTTATTTTAAAAAGAAGATAGAATCAAATAATTATCTTTAGAATCAAATTAATAAAAATCTGAAATCGCAAATTGGTAATAAAGAATATCAGCAGTTTCAATTAATATGGAAAATAGTAATAATTTGAAAGAATAAATTTAAATGTGGAAAGATAAATATGAAAAATTAGAAGAAAAATAAAACCTTATAATCGATTAAGAAATTAACTAATACAAACTTAAATATGAATAAATGGAGCAACGTTATTTATCATTATAATAGAGTTATGAGACAATCTAAATAACTTTAAGGGATTATAAAGATAATGAATAAAATGAAGTGTTTAAAATGGAAATAAAGAGATTGTAAAAAACTGTAATTGAATTGAGAAGTGAAATTGATAGACTATTAGTTCAGGCATCAGATAATTAATGGTTATAAAAAAGATATGAAGAATAGTAACTATTAATAGAAAACTATAAAACTTAAATTGAATAAAAATAACAAATATAAAAAGAATACATTTATCACATTGATAAATCAGAAATTAAAAATTAAAGATTCATAGATTAATAATCACTTTAATAAATCAATATAGATTAATAATTGATAAATCCATCATCTAATCTATAATAAATGAAAATTTAAGAGGTTAATCCTAATTAAACAAGAATGTCAGAGTATAATCATTTTTCTTCTAGGCCTATTGAATTGAATAATTCTAAATTTACAACATCTTATTCATAAACTTAGTTTTTACAGCCATCTATTAATATAAATGATATACAAAAAGTAAATTTTTTACTATTATTATTAGTAGAATAAAGTAGATGAGGGGTTTAATATCCAAAAATGGAACAATAATTATGAATTAGTTGTAGAAGAAGTAAAAAAAACAGATAAATATAATTGATGATTAAACTAAATATCTAAATAACAATTTTATAAATAAATAATTATTATTATTTTCTAGCTCGAGATTCTAACCAGACACAAACAATTTTAATTAGTCTCTGTATTATATTTTTTTTAAATAGTCTTTTTTACAAGGATGTTTCAAAGTGATAGATTGATGGTCAATTTTATAGAATATATAAGGTTTGTAGATAATAAATTTATTTATAAAAAAGATGATTATTCATATATCTGGGTAAATTAAATAAACTGATTTTCAATAACTGAATAAAATAAAGTAATATAGTGGAAAGGAAGTTAATCCTCAATCGAAGAAGTTTTTAACCAAGTATAAATAATTTTTTGAATTTATAGAGGTCGGAGATTGTTAATTTTCTAGATTTATATGCAATAATAAAATTTTAGATGAGGGACGAATAAAAAATATGGAGAAATTACATTTAATTTAATGGTGCAAAAATCTCTAGTTGTTCATTAACAACCTAAGTGAAAAAATTTTAATGTATTTTATAACTTATAAGAATATAATGATAATTTAGAGAATTCAGAATAATTTTATTAGAATTTCTTAAAATAATAAAATAAGATGTTGGAAATAGAATTCTCGAAATTAATAGAAATTTAACTTCCGAATCTGAAATTATAAAAATTATAAAAGGAGGAAAGATTTAACCGATTATTTATAAATAAGAAAACAAAAATAATTAATATACGGTTTAAAAATTATATTTATATCATTTAAGAATTTAATAATAAAATAACAATTCAAGATTAGATAAATTTTATTAAACAATTATTTTTCAATAACAGAAAAAACATAATTTAATAGAGATAATTTTGGATAATTAATCATATATGAATCTTCATATTAATGATATATTTTAAATTTTTATTAAATTCATATTAATATTTGATTATAAATCTAATATAAAACTCCTTGTGATTGAGTTTTTTATTGAAATATTATTTTATTTTAGTCATTATAATAGTTTATTTATTCATGAATATTGATGTAATTTATTATAGATCATGTTTTTTTTATTTTTATTTAATATAAAGGAATGCTTCCATTTTGGCAACCATATATAAACTTCATAGTTCTATTTGAAAAAGTAATACTAGTTACTAATTCTTTTAATCGGCGTTCCTTTCCTAAAATTTAATTTCCGTTTATCCTGATCGATTTATAGATTTTCTAATTTTATAATTAATATTACATTATTTTCTAAAAGAGCATGAATTATATATTGGTTCTCTTGTGAATTATAATAATAAGAACACTTACTAATATTTTATGTAGCATTTAAGAAATTTTCTGTTTATTTACTTAAATAGTTTAATTTTAAAATTCTGTTCTATATTATTCCTAAACAAAATTATTTTCTAAAAATAATTGAAGAAAATATCATCTGATTTGGGTTTTCTTGTTTTATTTGATAATCATTTATTATTTGATTTGATTTTAAGGAATATTATATAATGTGTCCATTTGAATATCCAAGAAATAGATTTATATCCTATATGATTTTGATTGAAATTGGTTTAATAATTTCAAATAGGATTAACGATTTACCAAATTTATGACTAGAATTTAATATTTCTACCTTTATCAACTTATTTTCTTTATTACTAAAATATATTAAGAAATCAGATTAATAAACTAATTATTAATTGATATATTTACCTTCTTAAGAATAAGTTAAGAGATTTTTCTCTATTTTTTCTTTAAATTAATCTAGTAATTGTAAATCCTTACTATAAAGAATAACATGAGTTTCTGTTTATAAAATTACTTAACCTGCTTTATTTACCTAAAATCCAACAATTGGAGATTAACATCCTTATTCACTTCTTTAAAACCCCTTCTTAAAAGGATCCTCTAAGATTCCTATTGATTATTTTGTATGATACAGGATTCTATCATCATTAATTCCTATTATGCCATAAATAGAACCTGATGGTTTTATTATTTAAGGCTTATCGCTTACTTTAATTTTTGTATCAAATTTTTATTTATCATTAGTAATATTTTATTCTTATTATTTTTGAGGTAATTCTTAGCCATGATCTTATTATATATTTGATTGAATTTAATTTTTTTAATTTTTATTTGTTTAAATCTTGAATTAATAATCTAAAAGACTTTTATTTTTCTTTTCTTTCTGTTTAGAAATAATTTTGGAATTAGAAGTATTTTTTTTGATCTTCTTCTTAACTGATGAGCCTTTAAGGATTTCGGGTGTTTTTAAAAGTTATTGCAACTTTATAAAATCCTATTGTTCCTATAATGATTATTATTATTCATAATTAGAAAATTGTTAATAGTTATAGGTATTTTATTGTTATGAATATTGCTATTAATAATTTAAAAATGGTTAGTAAGAGGTTTCATATCTTTAATATTGTTATTATTATTGTTATTATTATTTTTATTAGTATTATTCTTATTTTTATTGATTATTAATTTCTTCATATTACTTAAGTTAATTCATATAATTTTTTTCATTCAAATGNTTTTAAATAGGATTAACGATTTACCAAATTTATGACTAGAATTTAATATTTCTACCTTTATCAACTTATTTTCTTTATTACTAAAATATATTAAGAAATCAGATTAATAAACTAATTATTAATTGATATATTTACCTTCTTAAGAATAAGTTAAGAGATTTTTCTCTATTTTTTCTTTAAATTAATCTAGTAATTGTAAATCCTTACTATAAAGAATAACATGAGTTTCTGTTTATAAAATTACTTAACCTGCTTTATTTACCTAAAATCCAACAATTGGAGATTAACATCCTTATTCACTTCTTTAAAACCCCTTCTTAAAAGGATCCTCTAAGATTCCTATTGATTATTTTGTATGATACAGGATTCTATCATCATTAATTCCTATTATGCCATAAATAGAACCTGATGGTTTTATTATTTAAGGCTTATCGCTTACTTTAATTTTTGTATCAAATTTTTATTTATCATTAGTAATATTTTATTCTTATTATTTTTGAGGTAATTCTTAGCCATGATCTTATTATATATTTGATTGAATTTAATTTTTTTAATTTTTATTTGTTTAAATCTTGAATTAATAATCTAAAAGACTTTTATTTTTCTTTTCTTTCTGTTTAGAAATAATTTTGGAATTAGAAGTATTTTTTTTGATCTTCTTCTTAACTGATGAGCCTTTAAGGATTTCGGGTGTTTTTAAAAGTTATTGCAACTTTATAAAATCCTATTGTTCCTATAATGATTATTATTATTCATAATTAGAAAATTGTTAATAGTTATAGGTATTTTATTGTTATGAATATTGCTATTAATAATTTAAAAATGGTTAGTAAGAGGTTTCATATCTTTAATATTGTTATTATTATTGTTATTATTATTTTTATTAGTATTATTCTTATTTTTATTGATTATTAATTTCTTCATATTACTTAAGTTAATTCATATAATTTTTTTCATTCAAATGATTCTATGAACTATTTATCTAATCCTAAGAAACTTCACCCAAATTTAAAGCTTTCTTCTATTATTAGTTTCTTTTCAAACGAATTACTTAAGTTTAATTAGAGATATCTTCATTTTTGATTTTATCTTGATGGTCAAATTTTTCTTCATCCAACTCGTTTACTTATTTGGAAGGAATATTTGAGCTTATGAATTAGTCTTAAAACATAATTTATTTAATGTTTTTTTTTTCTTATAGGTAATTTATATAAACAAAAATTTAGCATTTTTTCGTTTGTTGATTGGAGACTATTTTTTTAATTTTAATTTTAATTAAATATTTTATATTTTAAATTTTAAATTTAATATTTTAAATTTTATATTTAATAATAATGAAATTAATTATTCTATTGAATTCAAGCAAATAATATATAATGTAATATGTAATTTTGTCTAAAATAAAATAATTTCTTTTTTTATCAAAATTATTCTAAAAATTAAATAATCAAATATTAAGTCGTTCAAAACTAATTAATCGATCTCTCATAAATATTGGTTGATTGCTTTAGTTATTACTTAGTTTTTGAAAATACATAAGTCTAAAATCCCTAAAAATTTATATTACATTAATTCTTCTATTTATGATTTCAATTTTTGGCAATTAAGTTTCCTAAACTTTTTTAATATTACAATTAACAATTCATAATTAACTCAAGTTTTTAAACCTCTAAAATTATTTTGTTTCATCTTTTATGTATTTTTAATTTTTATTAAACACTCTACTATCTTAGAATTTTATTATTTCAAATTATAATTTATCATTATCATCCATAAAAGTTTAAAAAAATGAAATTTTAGAATTATGTTTTATTTAGATATTTGAGAAAATTTAGTTTTTGATTAATTTGAGACTTTTAAAATCATAAATTGTGTACAACTTATGAATTTCACCATCTAAAGTTAGAAATAAGATAATTTAAAATAATATTTATAGATATAATTTATATCTTTAATGAATCAAATACTTTTGGTCTAATTTTAGAATAAGATATTCGATAAAATAATTTAGTGTTTTAAAATATTGTTATAGTATAACATTTGAATTCATAATAATTTAAGAATTGGAAAATCTAAATAGTACAGAATTATTCATATTTCAAGTAGTCAAAACTCTTAATTTTATATAGAAAATTGAAGGTCTGTATCTATTATCATTTATAAAATGGTAATACAATAATATTATTACCGTAAGTAAATAACATAAAGACTTCAGGGGTTTAAAGAATATTTTATCAGATTTTTATTTTTTTTTAATTGATATTTGAAATTCTATATAAATTAATTTCTTTACTAAAATGGAAGAAGTTTAAAATGATTGTTTTACTGCATTTCAGTTTTGATTAATTTTGATTTATTATTTTTAAAATTTATGCACTTTAAAATTATTACAACATAATTCAATAGTATGGATTTTTATGAATTATAGGTGATAATACAGTCTTTCTCCAAAAATTTAAATATTAAGTCTACTTTTATGTTAAAGAAGTATTATAGGGATTTCATTAAGTAAATTCATAATTATAAAATGGCATAAAACTATCTAAATATTATAATCTATAGAGTAGGATTAAATAACAATTAACTTATAATTAAGAATTCTATTATTGTTGGAGATGAAAAACAAAGACGAAGACTTTATTTTATAAGAGATAGCTTTTTTGAATAACATAATTGAATTTAAACATATATTATTTTAATAATTCTTTCGTTTATGTAAATTGTTATGTTGAAAATCTAATTGCCATTGCATACCAACTTCTTAGAAATGAAGTAGATAAAACAAATAAATAAAAAGGTTTAAACAAATATTCTAAAAATTATAACATATTTTACTGTAGAACAAAAAGTTTAAATGGAAACTTATTATTTTATGATACCTATTAGAAATAAATAGATTCAAAAAATAGAATATATATATTATATAATACTTATGCTATCTAGATAAGTAATAATTGTATCATTGTTAATAAATGAGTAAAAAAGCTTTGGTACATATTTTAGACGAATAAAAGTTTAAAATCATCTATAAATGGATTAAGTTAACTAAGTTATCAATAATTTGCAACCTAAGAATAAGCCTTCTATAATTTAAAAATTTTAAATGCTTGATTCAGTTGGCAATAATAATATATAAAAGTAAAAAGGTGAATAATAAATAGTGATATCTCTTGGTTGATAAATCTGATTAAAATTACTATTTTGATATTACTTTTTGTTTATCAAATCAAAGAAGAATGAATTTCATAGGGTTTTGAAATAAAATTAAAATTAATTAATTTAATTGTAATGTTATAAAAGAATGTAAAGTGGAGAAATTGAAATTCATTTAATTTAAATAAATGGTAAATACAAATATTTAATTGATCATCCAAAATACTTCTATTTATGATATAATATATATGATAAATTAATATTAATAATATTTGTATTTACTTTATTATAAATTATTATATAACCTTCTAATCTCTAGGTTCTTATATCTAAAATATATATTTTTGAAATGAAAAGAATCAGCTTACAAATTTCATATTCTTTTTTGATATCTACACTTATTCTTTTGGCCTGTTCTTATCAGAGCTATTGTTGTAATTATACAACATACGATGATGCATTGATTCCAGTTGAACATCCTATTTCTATGTATACAATTAATCCTATGAATAATGAAAAATTCATTTCTTTTGGATTTTGGAGTCTATGCATCCCCTAATAAACATTTAAGAATTAGCCTGAAGTTATTTAAGATTATTTTTAATCTATGCCTCAAGATGGACAATTATTGTTTTTAATTTAGGGAAAGCAATAAAATTTAGTATTGGGATATATTTATATGAATATGTTGAATAAAGAGGTAATATATAAAGTTGTCATATTTGGGAATCCTGATTAGTTTATTGAATTTAAATTTACTCCAGTTAAATATGAGGAAGAGTGGATTTTAAGTTTATTCACAATTAATTTGGAAACTGGAAAATTTACTGTAGAAATCACAGATTAAATTAAATAAAGTAGAAATATATTAAATGATATAAACTATGAAAGAATAATAATTGGAGGATAAGGCTATGTAATAATTAATTTATATGATTAAGATTGGCAAAGGGTTTAATTTGAATATATTTAAAGGAAGATTATCAAAGATGCATATCAATTATTAGATTGATGATATGTAATTCTAATACATGAATGAGAATTGTCGAATCCCACTTCCTTAAAAGGGTTAATAAACTATGTATTTTATCAAAGGATTATAAATCTTTGAAGGTAGCTCATCTTTACTATATTCATTAAATTAATTCGGAAATAGATATTGTTTATCTGGATGGGTGAAATATGATACTTCTAGAATAATAACAGAAACTAAATACAATTTGATAAGAATCAGTCTTTTTAAGAATTATAATTTTGATTAAAAATATGGAGATGAAATATTTCAAATGATACCATCAATTAATAAGGCAAATCCTAAAGGAACTTTCATTTCTATCATTGTCGATAATCGATTATTGCCTATTATGGGTGATAAAGACTATAATATTATAAGTTCAAGAGTAGCTTTGTTTTATGAATATTCTAATAGATATTTAATAGGTTTAGAATAATGGCATTTTATTAAATATGAGTATGGTTCTAAAGTATCAGGGAGAAAAAGTCTTGTTCAAATTTAATTCTTTAATGATTTAGGATTAAAAGAAATTAATTTAAATAATATATCTCCTATCAACTCACCATTCTATATAAATATAGGGGCTGATGATTTCTTTTAAGATATTCTTTAAGCTTCCATTTTCGATTTTAAATTTGAATATAATTATGATGATGATAAATAAATGCTATTTTAAGGTTAGATTATAAATCTATTAATAGCTTGTCATTATTCTTGTTAAACATGTAGAGGGCCATTGGAATATAATTGTATAACATGTAATCCTTAATCTAATAGATATTATTTAAATGAAATAAACAAATGCGAATGTTAATAAGGATATATAAATGTAGAAAATGAGAAAAATTGTGTAGAATTCTCTTNGGAAAGCAATAAAATTTAGTATTGGGATATATTTATATGAATATGTTGAATAAAGAGGTAATATATAAAGTTGTCATATTTGGGAATCCTGATTAGTTTATTGAATTTAAATTTACTCCAGTTAAATATGAGGAAGAGTGGATTTTAAGTTTATTCACAATTAATTTGGAAACTGGAAAATTTACTGTAGAAATCACAGATTAAATTAAATAAAGTAGAAATATATTAAATGATATAAACTATGAAAGAATAATAATTGGAGGATAAGGCTATGTAATAATTAATTTATATGATTAAGATTGGCAAAGGGTTTAATTTGAATATATTTAAAGGAAGATTATCAAAGATGCATATCAATTATTAGATTGATGATATGTAATTCTAATACATGAATGAGAATTGTCGAATCCCACTTCCTTAAAAGGGTTAATAAACTATGTATTTTATCAAAGGATTATAAATCTTTGAAGGTAGCTCATCTTTACTATATTCATTAAATTAATTCGGAAATAGATATTGTTTATCTGGATGGGTGAAATATGATACTTCTAGAATAATAACAGAAACTAAATACAATTTGATAAGAATCAGTCTTTTTAAGAATTATAATTTTGATTAAAAATATGGAGATGAAATATTTCAAATGATACCATCAATTAATAAGGCAAATCCTAAAGGAACTTTCATTTCTATCATTGTCGATAATCGATTATTGCCTATTATGGGTGATAAAGACTATAATATTATAAGTTCAAGAGTAGCTTTGTTTTATGAATATTCTAATAGATATTTAATAGGTTTAGAATAATGGCATTTTATTAAATATGAGTATGGTTCTAAAGTATCAGGGAGAAAAAGTCTTGTTCAAATTTAATTCTTTAATGATTTAGGATTAAAAGAAATTAATTTAAATAATATATCTCCTATCAACTCACCATTCTATATAAATATAGGGGCTGATGATTTCTTTTAAGATATTCTTTAAGCTTCCATTTTCGATTTTAAATTTGAATATAATTATGATGATGATAAATAAATGCTATTTTAAGGTTAGATTATAAATCTATTAATAGCTTGTCATTATTCTTGTTAAACATGTAGAGGGCCATTGGAATATAATTGTATAACATGTAATCCTTAATCTAATAGATATTATTTAAATGAAATAAACAAATGCGAATGTTAATAAGGATATATAAATGTAGAAAATGAGAAAAATTGTGTAGAATTCTCTTAAATATTTCCATTAATATAAATCTAAGAAGTACTTCATTTAGATGCTATTTAATGTTAATTTGGATATTTTATTTTACCAAATATTGGAATCTCAACTTAATGCATCAAATGGTATAAATTTATATTATGAAAAGTCCATAATCTAATTTCTAAAATATTCTGTGTGTAGACTGTCTCTATTCCCCATATACTTGGTACTTAAAACCTATTTGTAAATTTGATTTGATTTCAGTCAGAGATTCTCCTAATGATGCATTTTCATATATTGAAAGAGATCCAATCTATTTTGATTTATATCTAGTTGATAATTAGGGAGAAATCAATTTATATGAAGGTATCTAAGATATTTGTGAAATGGAATCAGATTCACCTAATTGTTTTAAGGCTGAATAAAAACATCTAAATTAAACAATTTTTATTAAATGTAAGCCAAATTATTTCCAACTTCATGGAAATTGTGTTTTAGTAAATCCTTACTGTCTAAAAGCTTCGGTTGAGGGAAGATGTTTATAATATTAAAATGGAATGTATTTGAAGAATGATTAATTATATTAATGTCCTATTAATTGTGAATAATGTTAATATAATGAGGAAACTTAGAATCCTTATTGTATCAAATGTATTGAGTTTTTTACTTTAGACAATGACTAATGTTTTTAATGTGGTAATTACTGTAAAGTCTGTCAAAAATATTATGATCCTTATAATCAAAATAGTTATTTGAGATGTTATAAATGTTTAGATGATTCAAAATACTTCATTTCATTTGATGCAATTAACTGTTAGAAAAATACAATAAAAAATTGTATTTATGCTTTTTAAACTTTGTCAGACAATTATTAAATTAATACTCTTGATGTAGAATTTAAACCAAGAAAGGATTGGGAAAACATTAAGACAAATTGTGCATTATGTAATCTATAATATGGAGTAATTCTTGATTCAAGCTTATGTATAAGAATGCATGAAGTTACATGTCAGTTCTCAGTTGTTCAAAAGATTGTTAATATAGAAATGGATGATAACATCTATTACACAATACTAGATTATGATTATTATACTACACCATAAGGAGAATAGATTACATTTGGTTTTTTAGATGATGGAACTTTATTATTAACATCATTTTAATATTGCATAATTTCATAAAAATACTTTAAATAATAAGATATAGAAGTTATGTAATTCTCACAGCAATGTTAAGGTAATGTGAAATATTGTGAGGTTTGTTTAAGAGATAGAACTTATATCTGGGGTATTACATATGTTTGCTTAGAATGTGAAAAAGGATATTATGCTGATAGAATCTCAAGTAAATGTTATCAATGTCCTCCAGAATTAAATTGTTATAAATGTTAAACTCAATAAAAATAATATAAAGATAGATGGAAAAATAATATAAGAGCTTTTTATAATGTAGTTATTCAAAAGAATACTGAACATACATTTAAACAATATGGATAAAGTGATAATTATAATGATTATGAAATTGTTTGTTCAGAGTGCTAAACTTAATATGAATTAAGAAATGAAAGATGTATACTTGCTTGTCCTTAATCATGTTTAGAATGTTAGTACATAAATGGTTAAAATTAATGTGTTAAATGTCCTAACAATTAAAAAGGAACTAAATTGAGTTTATCTTAAAATTAATGTATTGATTGTCCACAAAATTGTGCTTTATGTCGATTAAGATCTAAATAAGAAATACAAACCATTAATCCATTATTCGATAATAATTATTATATACATTATACTTATTAATGTTTAAAAAGCTTTAATGATACTGAATACTATTATGATTAAGAGTAGGGTATATTCATTTAATGTTCTTAACATTAAAATTGTAATTATGAATTTATTCTTACATTCAATCTTTATTGTTCCGAATTAGAGTATAAATAAGCATTGAATTAATTCTCATCATTATCTGAGTAGAGTATATTTAAATAGCAAAATTTGTTATTCTCAGATTTAGTATCAGGAATCACTTTTAAGGAGGTATATATTATATTCTAATTATATTTAGTTTGAATAAGATTTATTCTATCATTAAGCCAATGAAAAATCTATAAAATCTATTCATCTAAATATATCAAGTGTTAAAGAATAAATTTGTAAAATACCCTCTAATGCTATAATTTAATAAGTCTTTAGCAAAAATATCTTTTCGACAACGTAATTATTTATTTGTCATATTATTATAGAAATGTAGAGATAACAATTAATTTCAACAATAATACAATTATTGAATTTGAAAAATCAGTAAAATTCTTAAATTTTAATAAAATCATTATATTAGGAGCAATCTTTCATCCTATTAGTAATGAAAAATTTAAATAAATTATATTTGATAGCATACATCCTTAAACCATTATCCTTAAATACATTGTTTATTAATAAATTTCAAATGAAAATGATTAATCAGCTTTACTTTTTATAAATGTTAAAAATGTAGTATTTGATAATATCTAAATAATGGGATTAGTTTAAAATTAAATAGAGAATTTTATTCAAATTGAATAAACCAGAAATTTAAAATCTGTTAAAATTATGAATTTCTAACTCTTAAATTCATTTTTGTAAAATTAAATCACTATATATTGCCACCTTAACAAAGAAGATACCATTTAAATTGATAATTTAATTGTAAACTCTAAATTCAATAATGTTACTTTGATAAAAACAGGATAATAACAATAATTTGGTCATCTTGAAATTAACAATGTAAATTTATAAATTGATGTACTTGATTGTTAATTTTTCTTAAATCTGTATTCTCTTAGATAAATAAAAATTAAGACAATTAAAATTGAAAATGCTACTATTTAAAATTCAACATTAGTTATTTTAAATAATAATAATAATATAGATGATTTAATTATTTAATAAAGTAAATTTGGATAGAATAGTTATGGAATAATTAATTCTGATCAACTTTCTTTAGATAAGTTATCGATAAGTTTATCAAATATAATACTTTAATAAAATGAATATCATTAATCCACAAAATTTATATCATTTTAGAAATATAATAATAATGAATCTTAAATAGAAATCAATTAATTGAAAATACTTAATAACTATATATCATAGTATACTTATAATTACATATCGAACAATTAATACTCTGCTCTTCTTTATCTTTAATTTGATATAATCACTATAATTGATCTCGAAATAGTCAGGGGTTATGGTTTGATTGATATAAGTATAAATGATGTTCAGAAACTAAAAATCATATCTAGTAAAATATATTAAGGTCATTAGTATAAGTTCAAGGGTCTTCATTAATTTATGGATTGTCAATTGTAATAAGTTAAAGGAGAATCTTATTTGCAATCTCTATTTTTATCATCAATACTTGATCTTTATATCGATGATTTGATTATCAGATCCGCTTAAACATATAACTCACCAATTTTATATTATAAATCTTCAGAAAAGATTAAATAATCACAATTTGAAACAATTAATTTTAGTAATATGATTATCGAATCCAATTTGATGTTATTAACAAGTTAGAAATTTTAAACAGCAGTTCTCTTTTTTGAATCTGTTTAAGAAACTATTTTATTATTTTCAAACATAACTTTTTATGGGAATATATTGCATGAATATTTATAAAATAACCTCTAAACATCTGCTTTACTTTTGAATTTGAATTGTATCTAAGGCACAATAATAATCAGTGATTCAAACTTCATTAAAAATATAGTACTTAATAGTACAGATAGTATTATCTACATAAAAAGCGAGAAACTAGTTTTTAACAATTGTACATTCTCTGAAAATAGTATCTTTAATTATGCAATATTGTAACCCTATTTATTATGGGGATTCTTAGAGTCTCAAACAATATATTTTTAAGAATTAAGTTAAATATTTAGAATTAAATCATAATCAGGAAATGGAAAATTATTAGTGGAACATCTAGACATCCATTTTTGTATTTTTTAATAATCTATCGGATATTAAGGTGGAGCATTATTAATTGAGGCTTAAAAAGACAGTACCATCAACATTGTCAATAGTAAATTTAGTAATATATCTACAGGGTTCTAGAGAGAACTTGGATTTGGAGGATCTATATATTTAGATGGTACTTCATCTTAATCATTATATGTTACTTTTTAATAACTACTTATTGTAAATATTTATGCTTAAGAATAAGGTGGGTTCTTATATATTAAGACAGGAACTTTATATGCTCAAATTAATTTACATAGATTAACTATACAAAATGTTTATGCAAAATTTGGATCTGTAATTTATGCAACCTTTTCTGCTCTTGAATAATCATTATAATAAATTGAATGTAATGAAATCTCAATCAAAAATGCATAAAAAGAATATAAAAATTATTTGAATTAATATACATAACTCTCTAAATCTGAAGAAATACTATTAGTTAATAGTAGAGTTATGTTTTTAATAAATTCTGCGTCAAAGGTAATATTTACTAATATTAATATTGAAAATATCTTTCTTGAATCAGCTTTTTAGTTCTCTAGCATCGCAGAAATCTTAATTAATAACTTAATTATATCTAATAGTTTAATAAACTCAAATCTAATTAGAATATCTGCAAATAAATGTAATTAATATATTATTCAATATTATAGATTAGAATTAAATTTTATAGTTAAACGGAATCTAAATAACAAATATAACTATGACATTCAAATAAACAAGTTATAATTGTGAAACGAATTAAATATAAGAAACTCCTATTTAGTTTGCTTGCATTTAATAATAAGCTCCTATTAATTTACTACAAAAATATAGAAATAGTTCATTTACTTATGGTGAATGCATATTTTCCTTAATTAATGAGAATAAAGATTTGATATTTGTAGATGATCTAAATTAAGGATTAATCTTATTTCTAGATCTTACTGAATAAGCAACTATTAAGTTAAATTAGGTAGAATTAATAAAAATTGATTGTAACTTTTGTTAAAAGGGATTAATTTTTTTTAATTTTTAAAGGATTACTAAATTATTAAAGTAATAATATATGAAAAATATTATGATATCTAATTCAACATGTGGAAGATAAGGTTGTATAAATATAGAAAAAAGCAGCACTAATAATAATAGATTATTATAGTCATAGAAGAAATTCATATAATAATTGAAATTGGAGTTCTTAATAGATAATTATCTTTGTTAACACAATACTGGAACAAATGGAACTTGCCTTTATATCTCTAATGTTAAAGCAGAAATGTAGAATTGTCTTTTTCAATATAATAGAGCAAATTAAGTAGGTGGAGCTTTGTATATAAAAGAAAGTGATGATATTTTTATAATCAATAGTTGGATACTCAAAAATTAAGCTATGATTGGAGGTGGACTATATTTAGAGACTTCTCATGATTTAGATTATTAAAGACTCTAAACAAAAATAAGTAATAATTTAGCAAAATTGTTTGGTGATGCTATCGTTTCGATTCCTAAAAAACTTACATTAACCTAATTTGATTAAATGACATATTTAGAAACTATATAAATTATAGAGACAGATAATCTTCTAATCGAATAAATATCATCATTTACTAATTACATACAACTACCAAGTGGATAAAAGATTTCTAATTATATTAAATTTAATAAAAAAACTAAATAATATTTGCCATCAAATCAAAAATTTAGAATTATTGCTTAAAATAGAGATAAATAAGTAATTTAAAATCTCAGAAATACTTTTTGTAAAATCTAAAGTCGAATGTTGGATATATCCAATAATAATAATTATTATTATGATGATCAAGTCATCTTCTCAAATAATTTTACAAATATTTAAAAGGTTTAATTCAATGAATCAACCCAAGACTATAATTTAGATGATTTGATTGTTTATTTTGATAATAAGTTACCATACAATATTGTGTTATAATTATAATTTTAGTGTAATTCAATTATTGTTCCAATATATAATCAAGAGTATCCATACAATATATTGAATAAGCATTCAAATTATAATTTAAGAGTTAATATCAAAACTTTTGATTGTTAATTTGGAGAAATAAAAAATTATACAGATTTTTCATGTATTCCATGTAATGGCGAATAGGGATTATTTTCATTAAAAATTAATTCATAGAAATGTGAACTTAAAGATGATATTTCAACTATCAATGTCAAATCTGCTTTATTAAATTTAAAAACTGGATATTGGAGACCTTATTTCGAAACCAATCAAATTAGTAATTGCATTAATAAACCTGAGAATTGTTTAGGAGGTTGGATTGAAGGGGATATCTCATGTAATTAAGGTCATATAGGAGCTTTATGTGAAGAATGTGATTTATATGCAATTAAATAGGAAGGTCAATATTCAACTAGTTCAAAATACTCTTGTGAATCTTGTTAAGAAACTTCAAGAAATAAATTATTAATTAGTTTAGTATCGATATGGTAATTATTTAATATTTAAATTTCAGGACTTTGATATCAATTTTTATATCTGTTTAAAGTAATCTAAGATCTATAAAATAATCTATTAGAGTTACTAGTATTCTCCTTATTAAATTAGCAGCAATTTAAAATAGAAATTAATCAGCTATTCTAATCAAAATGTTAACTAATTATCTCTAAGTTATGACTTCTATTGCTACATTTAAATTGAAGCTACCAATTGAATTTTAAAGTACTATTAATACAGCAGGTTCACCAGTTTAAACTATGACATATTCAATGGATTGCTTTTTATCTAACCTTTTTTTATTTGAAATTCAGTATGCTAGAATGATTTGGTAAATAATTATGCCTTTTGTTTATATCAGTTTCTTTTTTACATGCTATTTATTAGCTATTAAATTAAAATTTACTAGTTACAATAAGAGTGTCATCACAACTACTATTATATATATGTACATCTATTTACAAACAAGTTTAGTTGGTGGATTTGCTTAAATTATATCCTATAGAAATATATCAGGATACTAGTGGATTTAAGCAAATGTGGCTTAGAGATTTGATACTAATTATCACTATTAATGGATTCTCAAATTTTGTACACCTATGATTATTATTTTATTTATTGTAATTCCATCTTATTTTTTACATGGACTTAGTAGTAATTCTAAAAATTTGGATAAAAATTATGTAAAATTATAATGGGGATACTTATATAATGAATATACAAAATAAGCATATTTTTGGGAATTAATCAAAATTGCATAAAAACAACTTATGATGATTTGTTTGATTTATTATGATGATTACGTTATTTTAAAAGCTACTATGATTGCATTAATAATAGGAATTTATTTAGAATTAAGCTTGAAATACAAACCTTATAATTGCAATAATCTNTCATAGAAATGTGAACTTAAAGATGATATTTCAACTATCAATGTCAAATCTGCTTTATTAAATTTAAAAACTGGATATTGGAGACCTTATTTCGAAACCAATCAAATTAGTAATTGCATTAATAAACCTGAGAATTGTTTAGGAGGTTGGATTGAAGGGGATATCTCATGTAATTAAGGTCATATAGGAGCTTTATGTGAAGAATGTGATTTATATGCAATTAAATAGGAAGGTCAATATTCAACTAGTTCAAAATACTCTTGTGAATCTTGTTAAGAAACTTCAAGAAATAAATTATTAATTAGTTTAGTATCGATATGGTAATTATTTAATATTTAAATTTCAGGACTTTGATATCAATTTTTATATCTGTTTAAAGTAATCTAAGATCTATAAAATAATCTATTAGAGTTACTAGTATTCTCCTTATTAAATTAGCAGCAATTTAAAATAGAAATTAATCAGCTATTCTAATCAAAATGTTAACTAATTATCTCTAAGTTATGACTTCTATTGCTACATTTAAATTGAAGCTACCAATTGAATTTTAAAGTACTATTAATACAGCAGGTTCACCAGTTTAAACTATGACATATTCAATGGATTGCTTTTTATCTAACCTTTTTTTATTTGAAATTCAGTATGCTAGAATGATTTGGTAAATAATTATGCCTTTTGTTTATATCAGTTTCTTTTTTACATGCTATTTATTAGCTATTAAATTAAAATTTACTAGTTACAATAAGAGTGTCATCACAACTACTATTATATATATGTACATCTATTTACAAACAAGTTTAGTTGGTGGATTTGCTTAAATTATATCCTATAGAAATATATCAGGATACTAGTGGATTTAAGCAAATGTGGCTTAGAGATTTGATACTAATTATCACTATTAATGGATTCTCAAATTTTGTACACCTATGATTATTATTTTATTTATTGTAATTCCATCTTATTTTTTACATGGACTTAGTAGTAATTCTAAAAATTTGGATAAAAATTATGTAAAATTATAATGGGGATACTTATATAATGAATATACAAAATAAGCATATTTTTGGGAATTAATCAAAATTGCATAAAAACAACTTATGATGATTTGTTTGATTTATTATGATGATTACGTTATTTTAAAAGCTACTATGATTGCATTAATAATAGGAATTTATTTAGAATTAAGCTTGAAATACAAACCTTATAATTGCAATAATCTTAATATGTTAGATTGTTAGATAATGAATGTATGCTTAGCCACAATACTATTAGCATCTGGTATTTATGTTTCAGAGTAAACTAATGTTTTTGAAGTCAAAATTCCTTATTTTGTATTAATAACTATTATAAATGTCTTTATAACCTATATTCTGATATCAAAAATTGTAGTGGAATACTTAAAAAAGGCAGGTCTCAATATTGAAAGAATTGAAAAAATAAAATAAACTATTAGAAAACTATTGCCATTTCTGAATCAAATTCCATTTATATCTAAATTACTGTAAGATCGTCGTGAACAAAGAAAACGAATAGTTTAATTATATACAAAATTAAAGCAATTCTTATTACCATAAGCTAAAGAGATTATTGCATTTAAAGCTTCTAAATTGAAATAAGACAGTCAAAGAAATTTAGAATAATAAATTCTCTCAAATTAATTAAGTCTAAATCATGCTAAAGATTAAGAATTTTTATTTAGAGAATCTATGAAATAATCTTCATTAAATACTTCAAAACATATCTTAGAATCTACAGTTGCTGATAAAATGTATTATAATATCTATAATAGAAATTTAAAAAGAAATGAATAATGGAGAGTAAAATATGGACTAAATTAAAAAAAATTGACTTAAACCTAAATAACTTCTAAAGATAAAATTATTAAAGATAATGAAGAATAATGAATAATTATATTAAAAGTGATAGAATTTTATATTTTAATATAATTTAGATTTAATTTCATTCTTGCTTTTATATTTTTTTATTTTATTATTGTTATAATCTTTCATGTAAATTATAATTAAATTGATAACCTAAAAGATAACAAACCTTTTTATTTATAAATCAAAATAGTATTAAATTGTTGATTGAGTTTTATTGCACTATAATATCTAAATTATTTTGAATAAATGGAAATTTTAATCACAGCAGTGCTTAGTTTTTATTTGAAATATCATAAATTTGAATGAGAACTAAGAATAATTATTTTTTACTACTATTTTGGATAATATAGGATTTATATGCTTAATGCTTTGATGTTTTAACAAAGACTTGTAAATAAATACAGATAAGAAATATTTTGTATGTNAATAATCTATTAGAGTTACTAGTATTCTCCTTATTAAATTAGCAGCAATTTAAAATAGAAATTAATCAGCTATTCTAATCAAAATGTTAACTAATTATCTCTAAGTTATGACTTCTATTGCTACATTTAAATTGAAGCTACCAATTGAATTTTAAAGTACTATTAATACAGCAGGTTCACCAGTTTAAACTATGACATATTCAATGGATTGCTTTTTATCTAACCTTTTTTTATTTGAAATTCAGTATGCTAGAATGATTTGGTAAATAATTATGCCTTTTGTTTATATCAGTTTCTTTTTTACATGCTATTTATTAGCTATTAAATTAAAATTTACTAGTTACAATAAGAGTGTCATCACAACTACTATTATATATATGTACATCTATTTACAAACAAGTTTAGTTGGTGGATTTGCTTAAATTATATCCTATAGAAATATATCAGGATACTAGTGGATTTAAGCAAATGTGGCTTAGAGATTTGATACTAATTATCACTATTAATGGATTCTCAAATTTTGTACACCTATGATTATTATTTTATTTATTGTAATTCCATCTTATTTTTTACATGGACTTAGTAGTAATTCTAAAAATTTGGATAAAAATTATGTAAAATTATAATGGGGATACTTATATAATGAATATACAAAATAAGCATATTTTTGGGAATTAATCAAAATTGCATAAAAACAACTTATGATGATTTGTTTGATTTATTATGATGATTACGTTATTTTAAAAGCTACTATGATTGCATTAATAATAGGAATTTATTTAGAATTAAGCTTGAAATACAAACCTTATAATTGCAATAATCTTAATATGTTAGATTGTTAGATAATGAATGTATGCTTAGCCACAATACTATTAGCATCTGGTATTTATGTTTCAGAGTAAACTAATGTTTTTGAAGTCAAAATTCCTTATTTTGTATTAATAACTATTATAAATGTCTTTATAACCTATATTCTGATATCAAAAATTGTAGTGGAATACTTAAAAAAGGCAGGTCTCAATATTGAAAGAATTGAAAAAATAAAATAAACTATTAGAAAACTATTGCCATTTCTGAATCAAATTCCATTTATATCTAAATTACTGTAAGATCGTCGTGAACAAAGAAAACGAATAGTTTAATTATATACAAAATTAAAGCAATTCTTATTACCATAAGCTAAAGAGATTATTGCATTTAAAGCTTCTAAATTGAAATAAGACAGTCAAAGAAATTTAGAATAATAAATTCTCTCAAATTAATTAAGTCTAAATCATGCTAAAGATTAAGAATTTTTATTTAGAGAATCTATGAAATAATCTTCATTAAATACTTCAAAACATATCTTAGAATCTACAGTTGCTGATAAAATGTATTATAATATCTATAATAGAAATTTAAAAAGAAATGAATAATGGAGAGTAAAATATGGACTAAATTAAAAAAAATTGACTTAAACCTAAATAACTTCTAAAGATAAAATTATTAAAGATAATGAAGAATAATGAATAATTATATTAAAAGTGATAGAATTTTATATTTTAATATAATTTAGATTTAATTTCATTCTTGCTTTTATATTTTTTTATTTTATTATTGTTATAATCTTTCATGTAAATTATAATTAAATTGATAACCTAAAAGATAACAAACCTTTTTATTTATAAATCAAAATAGTATTAAATTGTTGATTGAGTTTTATTGCACTATAATATCTAAATTATTTTGAATAAATGGAAATTTTAATCACAGCAGTGCTTAGTTTTTATTTGAAATATCATAAATTTGAATGAGAACTAAGAATAATTATTTTTTACTACTATTTTGGATAATATAGGATTTATATGCTTAATGCTTTGATGTTTTAACAAAGACTTGTAAATAAATACAGATAAGAAATATTTTGTATGTAGGCTTGTTTAGAAATTAAATTTTCATTTTTTTATGAAAATTGAATTAATGTTTGGATTTTTTATTGAAATTAAAAACAAATTTAAATTTTCCTTAAAATAAAAGAGCATTTATTATTTTTTTACATTTTTACATCCACTTATATTAAAATATTTAATAGAAAAAAGAAAAAATATTTAAATTATCTAGAAAATATAAACTTATTGTAAAATATTTATTAGAAAAAAAGTATATAAATTATTTTTCATAATGAAAACAAAACTTTTAACCTTTATTATAAAATAATTCTTATTAAAATAAAATATTAAATTTCTTATAGAATTGAAAAAAGAAATTATTTTTCTTAGAAACTATTAATTTTTGACAGCCTATGTGATCTTTATCACTTTAGGTAATTATGATTTACATATTCAGATAAAATACATAACCAATTGAATCTCCTTATTAAGAATTAAATAAGTCTTTGATGATTGCACAAGATTATATTTGAATAAATTCCTTGTTTTCAATTTCCACTTTCTTTTTATTTGTATCTAGACTTTAAAATAACTTTTTTTGAAGAGTTTATAAATAATTACTTAAGTGCATCTCTTTCTATCAATTCTAATGTAGCTTTATATAAAAAATGAATATATTTATTTCTTCAATATAATTTATACTATAAATATCTCTTAATATTTCTTCCTCATACTTTTTATTTTTATAGTTTTGACTTATGAATTGATAAATCTATTTCCAAAACACAAGAATTTATCTTTTGGCTTTATTATTTTACTCATCCTTGTTGACACTAGTTTTTCAATAATAATTAATACTTAGATTTTAAAATTACTAATAAATTTTAATATTTGGTTAATTTTAAAGTACAAAAAAGTTTAAAAATATTTTACATTTTGGAAATTTAAAGTAATTAAAAATTTTGAACACTTTTATTCAAGAGTAATAATTAAATTATAGTACAAAAAAATAAAATTAATAATTTATTTAATGGAATATATTTAAGGTAATAAACCTTTTTATTCTTTCAAATTAAAGAATATTTTATATGATATTTTCACTATCAGAAGGCTCCTTCTGAATCCACTTTTTGTTTTCTACTCTTCCATGATTTAGCTCAATTTTAAATATAAATGTAGATGATATTTGAATTCAAGATATTTAGTATTTTCATATTCTTTTAAGTAATCATATGATGGAGAAAACATGAAAAGAGTTAATTTTGGTTTGATTTCAGAATGATTTACTTATTTTTATAATTTTTTTTAGATATAAATTTCATTATTGTGTCAATATTTAAACAAAAGATAATAATGTATTGTAATAAAATAATATTATTAAAGAATTCGAAGAAGTTAATTTTAGAAACCAAAACCGATAAATGTTATCCATAAAAAAGATTTTCAAAAGATAAAAATAATTAAGAATTGAATTATAGAAATTTACAATCTTAGCCTATTTGATTTACTCAATGTACAATTTAATATCAAAACTGAGTAACTAACTAAAAGTAAAAGATTATTTATTTCTTTTATCATGATTGGGCCTTAACATGGGAAAAAGGTTTTTAGAATTAATAACTTAAAATTTCTTAACACAAATTATTTTAATATTATGTGATATGGCTCATATTTTTTGTATGAGCATCAAACTAAAATAAAGTCTATGAAATAAGGATTCAAATATTGAGAATTCATAAAGATAGAAAATATAACTTTTAAGAAGAATATTGGGGCTAAATATATTGCAAGTTACAACATTCAAGCATTCTAAAACAAGAAAAAGCTCTAATATTAATGTAATTAATTTTAGCATTTTTAATTATTTATGTATAAATAATTATTATTCAAATTTACCTGATTTAATATCCATTTATGTAGCCATTTTGGCAACCATATATAAACTAAAGAGTTTTGCTTGAAAAGGTAATACTAGTTATTTTTTATTATAAAGATCGTACCTTTCCATCAATTTCCTTTCCATTAATCATCTTTGATTTATAGATTTTCTAATTTTATAATAAATATTACATTATTTTCTAAAAGAGCATGAATTATATATATATTCTCTTGTGAATCATAATAATAAGAAAACTAACTAATATTTTATGTAGCATTTAAGAAATTTTCTGTTTATTTACTTAAATAGTTTAATTTTAAAATTCTGTTCTATATTATTCCTAAACAAAATTATTTTCTAAAAATAATTGAAGAAAATATCATCTGAATGGAGTTTTCTTGTTTTATTTGATAATTATTTATTAATTGATTTGACTTTAAAGAATATTATTTAATTTGTCCATTTGAATATCCAAGAAATAGCTTTTCATTCTATATGATTTTGATTGAAATTGGTTTAACAGTTTTAAATAGGATTAACGATTTACCAAATTTATGACTAGAATTTAATATTTCTACCTTTATCAACGTATTTTCTTTATTACTAAAATATATTAAGAAATCAGATTAATAAACTAATTATTAAATTAAACTTATTGTAAAATATTTATTAGAAAAAAAGTATATAAATTATTTTTCATAATGAAAACAAAACTTTTAACCTTTATTATAAAATAATTCTTATTAAAATAAAATATTAAATTTCTTATAGAATTGAAAAAAGAAATTATTTTTCTTAGAAACTATTAATTTTTGACAGCCTATGTGATCTTTATCACTTTAGGTAATTATGATTTACATATTCAGATAAAATACATAACCAATTGAATCTCCTTATTAAGAATTAAATAAGTCTTTGATGATTGCACAAGATTATATTTGAATAAATTCCTTGTTTTCAATTTCCACTTTCTTTTTATTTGTATCTAGACTTTAAAATAACTTTTTTTGAAGAGTTTATAAATAATTACTTAAGTGCATCTCTTTCTATCAATTCTAATGTAGCTTTATATAAAAAATGAATATATTTATTTCTTCAATATAATTTATACTATAAATATCTCTTAATATTTCTTCCTCATACTTTTTATTTTTATAGTTTTGACTTATGAATTGATAAATCTATTTCCAAAACACAAGAATTTATCTTTTGGCTTTATTATTTTACTCATCCTTGTTGACACTAGTTTTTCAATAATAATTAATACTTAGATTTTAAAATTACTAATAAATTTTAATATTTGGTTAATTTTAAAGTACAAAAAAGTTTAAAAATATTTTACATTTTGGAAATTTAAAGTAATTAAAAATTTTGAACACTTTTATTCAAGAGTAATAATTAAATTATAGTACAAAAAAATAAAATTAATAATTTATTTAATGGAATATATTTAAGGTAATAAACCTTTTTATTCTTTCAAATTAAAGAATATTTTATATGATATTTTCACTATCAGAAGGCTCCTTCTGAATCCACTTTTTGTTTTCTACTCTTCCATGATTTAGCTCAATTTTAAATATAAATGTAGATGATATTTGAATTCAAGATATTTAGTATTTTCATATTCTTTTAAGTAATCATATGATGGAGAAAACATGAAAAGAGTTAATTTTGGTTTGATTTCAGAATGATTTACTTATTTTTATAATTTTTTTTAGATATAAATTTCATTATTGTGTCAATATTTAAACAAAAGATAATAATGTATTGTAATAAAATAATATTATTAAAGAATTCGAAGAAGTTAATTTTAGAAACCAAAACCGATAAATGTTATCCATAAAAAAGATTTTCAAAAGATAAAAATAATTAAGAATTGAATTATAGAAATTTACAATCTTAGCCTATTTGATTTACTCAATGTACAATTTAATATCAAAACTGAGTAACTAACTAAAAGTAAAAGATTATTTATTTCTTTTATCATGATTGGGCCTTAACATGGGAAAAAGGTTTTTAGAATTAATAACTTAAAATTTCTTAACACAAATTATTTTAATATTATGTGATATGGCTCATATTTTTTGTATGAGCATCAAACTAAAATAAAGTCTATGAAATAAGGATTCAAATATTGAGAATTCATAAAGATAGAAAATATAACTTTTAAGAAGAATATTGGGGCTAAATATATTGCAAGTTACAACATTCAAGCATTCTAAAACAAGAAAAAGCTCTAATATTAATGTAATTAATTTTAGCATTTTTAATTATTTATGTATAAATAATTATTATTCAAATTTACCTGATTTAATATCCATTTATGTAGCCATTTTGGCAACCATATATAAACTAAAGAGTTTTGCTTGAAAAGGTAATACTAGTTATTTTTTATTATAAAGATCGTACCTTTCCATCAATTTCCTTTCCATTAATCATCTTTGATTTATAGATTTTCTAATTTTATAATAAATATTACATTATTTTCTAAAAGAGCATGAATTATATATATATTCTCTTGTGAATCATAATAATAAGAAAACTAACTAATATTTTATGTAGCATTTAAGAAATTTTCTGTTTATTTACTTAAATAGTTTAATTTTAAAATTCTGTTCTATATTATTCCTAAACAAAATTATTTTCTAAAAATAATTGAAGAAAATATCATCTGAATGGAGTTTTCTTGTTTTATTTGATAATTATTTATTAATTGATTTGACTTTAAAGAATATTATTTAATTTGTCCATTTGAATATCCAAGAAATAGCTTTTCATTCTATATGATTTTGATTGAAATTGGTTTAACAGTTTTAAATAGGATTAACGATTTACCAAATTTATGACTAGAATTTAATATTTCTACCTTTATCAACGTATTTTCTTTATTACTAAAATATATTAAGAAATCAGATTAATAAACTAATTATTAAATGATATATTTACCTTCTTAAGAATAAGTTAAGAGATTTTTCTCTATTTTTTCTTTAAATTAATCTAGTAATTGTAAATCCTTACTATAAAGAATAACATGAGTTTCTGTTTATAAAATTACTTAACCTGCTTTATTTACCTAAAATCCAACAATTGGAGATTAACATCCTTATTCACTTCTTTAAAACCCCTTCTTAAAAGGATCCTCTAAGATTCCTATTGATTATTTTGTATGATACAGGATTCTATCATCATTAATTCCTATTATGCCATAAATAGAACCTGATGGTTTTATTATTTAAGGCTTATCGCTTACTTTAATTTTTGTATCAAATTTTTATTTATCATTAGTAATATTTTATTCTTATTATTTTTGAGGTAATTCTTAGCCATGATCTTATTATATATTTGATTGAATTTAATTTTTTTAATTTTTATTTGTTTAAATCTTGAATTAATAATCTAAAAGACTTTTATTTTTCTTTTCTTTCTGTTTAGAAATAATTTTGGAATTAGAAGTATTTTTTTTGATCTTCTTCTTAACTGATGAGCCTTTAAGGATTTCGGGTGTTTTTAAAAGTTATTGCAACTTTATAAAATCCTATTGTTCCTATAATGATTATTATTATTCATAATTAGAAAATTGTTAATAGTTATAGGTATTTTATTGTTATGAATATTGCTATTAATAATTTAAAAATGGTTAGTAAGAGGTTTCATATCTTTAATATTGTTATTATTATTGTTATTATTATTTTTATTAGTATTATTCTTATTTTTATTGATTATTAATTTCTTCATATTACTTAAGTTAATTCATATAATTTTTTTCATTCAAATGATTCTATGAACTATTTATCTAATCCTAAGAAACTTCACCCAAATTTAAAGCTTTCTTCTATTATTAGTTTCTTTTCAAACGAATTACTTAAGTTTAATTAGAGATATCTTCATTTTTGATTTTATCTTGATGGTCAAATTTTTCTTCATCCAACTCGTTTACTTATTTGGAAGGAATATTTGAGCTTATGAATTAGTCTTAAAACATAATTTATTTAATGTTTTTTTTTTCTTATAGGTAATTTATATAAACAAAAATTTAGCATTTTTTCGTTTGTTGATTGGAGACTATTTTTTTAATTTTAATTTTAATTAAATATTTTATATTTTAAATTTTAAATTTAATATTTTAAATTTTATATTTAATAATAATGAAATTAATTATTCTATTGAATTCAAGCAAATAATATATAATGTAATATGTAATTTTGTCTAAAATAAAATAATTTCTTTTTTTATCAAAATTATTCTAAAAATTAAATAATCAAATATTAAGTCGTTCAAAACTAATTAATCGATCTCTCATAAATATTGGTTGATTGCTTTAGTTATTACTTAGTTTTTGAAAATACATAAGTCTAAAATCCCTAAAAATTTATATTACATTAATTCTTCTATTTATGATTTCAATTTTTGGCAATTAAGTTTCCTAAACTTTTTTAATATTACAATTAACAATTCATAATTAACTCAAGTTTTTAAACCTCTAAAATTATTTTGTTTCATCTTTTATGTATTTTTAATTTTTATTAAACACTCTACTATCTTAGAATTTTATTATTTCAAATTATAATTTATCATTATCATCCATAAAAGTTNTTTTAAATAGGATTAACGATTTACCAAATTTATGACTAGAATTTAATATTTCTACCTTTATCAACTTATTTTCTTTATTACTAAAATATATTAAGAAATCAGATTAATAAACTAATTATTAATTGATATATTTACCTTCTTAAGAATAAGTTAAGAGATTTTTCTCTATTTTTTCTTTAAATTAATCTAGTAATTGTAAATCCTTACTATAAAGAATAACATGAGTTTCTGTTTATAAAATTACTTAACCTGCTTTATTTACCTAAAATCCAACAATTGGAGATTAACATCCTTATTCACTTCTTTAAAACCCCTTCTTAAAAGGATCCTCTAAGATTCCTATTGATTATTTTGTATGATACAGGATTCTATCATCATTAATTCCTATTATGCCATAAATAGAACCTGATGGTTTTATTATTTAAGGCTTATCGCTTACTTTAATTTTTGTATCAAATTTTTATTTATCATTAGTAATATTTTATTCTTATTATTTTTGAGGTAATTCTTAGCCATGATCTTATTATATATTTGATTGAATTTAATTTTTTTAATTTTTATTTGTTTAAATCTTGAATTAATAATCTAAAAGACTTTTACTTTTCTTTTCTTTCTGTTTAGAAATAATTTTGGAATCAGAATTATTTTTTTTGATCTTCTTCTTAACTGATGAGTCTTAAAGGATTTAGGGTTTTTTTAAAAGTTATTGCAACTTTTAACAATCCTATTGTTCCTATAATGATTTTTAATCATAATCATAGAATGGTTAAAAGCTATAGTAATAGATATTTTAATTTTGTTATTGTTAAGGATTTTTAACTACTTGAAATTAATTAATCAAATCCTTACTATTTTTTTCATAAATTAGATTATTTTAATGATTTATTATAACTTAAAAAACTTCATTTTATTTTTAAGCTTTTAACTAAGTTTTTGTTAAAGTTTAAGGCATATGAGTATTTTCAGTTTAATTGGAGATTTCATCAATTTAGATTTGACATTGATTATCGAAATTCTGTTCAACCTATTACGGCTTATTTTATTAGGCACCCTTAAACTTTATATTAGTTTTCTTTTTCATTTTTATTTATGTTTTTTTTATTCCTTTATGGCAAATTTAAAAATTAAAAATTTACAAAATTTCGACAAATTTTATAAAAGATTATTTTTAATTATTAGATATATAACCATAAAAAAATTCTCAAAAATAGAATTAGTCTATTTACAATTTTACTAAATCAAAGGAACTATTAAAAATAAGGATTCAAATATAGACATCCTTTTAGAAATAGTTATTATTATAAGAAGAGGATATTAGCTATTTTTAAGTAAATTTTCAATTTTATAGCACGTAAGAACCCACTAAAGATAAGTAAAGGCTTAAAAATGAAGTCAAATTTTTATTGATAGATGGCAATACTTTACATCCAACTAGTTTAATCATGCTTAAAGTAACAGAGGAGGGAAATATTTGAGCATTCTTGATTAATAATTCTTGGTAAGAATGTAGTATTCTATTTTTCGATATGATAAAATATGTGTTAATTGTAACAGAATAATATCATGATTCACAACACCTTCACTCAATCAAATCAAAGATATTTTTCATGAAAATTTCAAAAAAGAGGAATTTGATCCAAAAAATTCTAATATTTAGTAAATGTAAAAGGGATTTAATTTTTTTTTAAATTGTAATTTCATGATGTGCTCTATTATATGCGTTTTGAACATATTGTTAATTGTTCAGGAACACAATTTAAATTTTATTAATTAGCTTCCAAGAGTTAAGAAATCTGACTAAATAATCATATACAAACTAGAACTATAAAATAGTCATCTGGTTATCAGATTGATGATTTATTGAAAATATTAAGGAAAAATCTGTTAGTAT